TTTTGCAGGTGAAACACCATCTGATGCACAACACAGTGTGCACCAGATCAGAGGACGGCCCTAGCCGCGGCCCATCAGGAGGGCCGCCGGCTAGAGCCGTAGTGGCACGGGACTAGGGCACGGCCCTAGAGGAGGGCCGTTTCCTAGTCCCGGTGCTTTAACGGGGCTCATGGGGCGGACCATGAGGAGTCCCGCCCCAGGTCCCTGAGTTTGTTCTGAGAAGGATTTTGTGCAGTGGTCGGGCCCTTGTGGCTCAGCTACGTGTCGTTTCGGACCGAGTGTTACAGGCCCTTGTGGCTCGGCTCTTGGGGATCGTCTCGACGCACGTTTTGGCTTTGACTTCGTTGAATTTGGATTAAAAACGAGTATGTTATGAAGGAATTTGTGAAGAATTGCTACACATAGTATATATTTGCTTAGTTCACTGTGTATGAGAAATATTTGGCTTTGTGATCAGATAATGTTTTTATTGATTAAAGAAGCATGATCAGTTGAGAATATAATTTATTATGAAAGCATGATTAAATTGTGTTATTTGATCAATTAGCATAGAAACATATTTATTGAGTGAAATGTATAGAAATTGCTATGTTGCAAACCAAGCATGATGATATATTCTTGAATACTTCATGTTAGTTATACATGATTTAGAAGCATATTATAGAGGAGGTTGACATTTCACATGTGTCATATTTCAAAAATGCATAAGGGGCCAACGTGAGCCCAAGAATACTTTCAACAAACCATAAGCATGTGGTATATCATTCTTTGATGCATTGAGTAGTAGTAGAGTTATTGCATGCATGAGATTGATGCATGAGAGATATATTTATGTATTATCTATATTGGTGAGGTTTTGGAGGATACCGTTTGGACTATGTCCTTCTCGGGAGATATTTATGGACATTGCGGTCCCAGTATATGTAACGCGGCTTATTCCCACGTTACGAGGTTGAAAACTTCCCGCCAGGCTTGGAATCCTGGTTAGGGGCTGTGCACACTAATAGTTCGATACCTGATTCCACATAGTTTGAACCACGAGATTGGTTCCGTAGACGGTAGGTGATATTGGGTCGGAATTATGCCGTTCCCGATGGGGTAATTCACACTTCTGTGAAACCCTAAGCCGTCTACGAGTATAAGAGAAAGAAAGAGAGTCAACAGAGACTCAAGAAAGAGAGTCAACAGAGACTCAAGAAAGAGAGTCAATAAAGACTCGAGAGAAAGAAAGAGAGTCAACAGAGACTCGAGAAAGTAATAAAGAGACCTCCATAGAAAGTACTCTAATTTATAAAAGAGTGTATGAGTATATTATTGCACTAGATTGCATATGAGTATGAGTATATTGTTGCACGATATTGCATATGAGTATGAGTATATTATTGCACTAGATTGCATAAGAAGTATGATCATAATGTTAGACGTGATTGTATGCGAATAGAGTATCGTAAGAGATTGTATAACGAGAAGTTTGACTTAAGATATTCCTTTGAGCATGATTTTCTTATTGTATTAGAAGTTCTACTTATCAAGTTATGTGATAAGAATGTGAAAGCATGTGAACACCTGCTTTATGGTCTTTTAGCATGAACCTATCTATAAGCATGAATTGCTTGATAAGCTATTTGAGAAGTCCATATGTTGATGAATCTTCGTAATTAGTCTTATACATATGATCATGCCAGCTGATATCATAGGGTGCAAGCATCTAGAAAGAATGTGATAAATCTAAAGATGATTTGAGATTAGCTTATTGCTATAAAGAAATCAAATGTTTTCAAAGTAAATGCTAGAATGCTTTACAGGGTTGAGTGTGGTTATACTTAGCTTCGTGCTAACGGGTGTTTTTCCTATTTGTCTATGTGTTGCTTGCAAAACTCCTTTCAGGTGGGCCCAACAGTGTGAAGAAGTCGAGTTAGATTAGTCTCGTAGATAGAGATATCTAAACTCTAGTTTGACTGATGTTATGTATGGATTTTAGACTTTTGACTTTATGTTTGAAGATGATGTAGACTTTTGGGGTGACGTATTTCCCCCCTCATGTTTTTAGTTTTATGTTGGATGCCCGACTTTTACTTTATTTCTAGTTCTAACCCTTTAGCCTGTGCAATCACCACGGCGTGTGACTGTTTAGAGTTATAATTAAGAGTTAGAAAAGTGGGGTGTTACACGTGAGTCGATGGACCTCGAGTTTAATCCCTTAATAAAAAATCACACTTTGAGATTAGTTTCGTTTATGCCTGGGATGAATGTTGTTTGGTGTAAATGGGTCTTCCGTACGAAGAGGAAGGCTGATGGAACGGTGGCGCGTTGCAAAGCCTGTTTGGTTGCCAAGGGTTTTAACCAAGTGGCTGGCCAGGATTTCTTTGAGATGTTTAATTCGGTGGTTAAGCCGACTACTGTTCGACTCTTGCTTTCTTTGGTTATTTCGCGTGTTTGGACTATCAGACAGTTAGATGTCTATAACACGTTCTTGAATGGTAATCTTGCTAAGACAGTTTATATGCGGCAGCCCCCGGGTTATGAAGACAAGACCGCCCCGAATCATGTGTGCTTGTTGCAGCGGTCTTTGTATGGCCTTAAGCAGGCTCCCCATGTTTGGTTTACTTGGTTACACTGTTTCTTGGTTTCGGTTGGCTTTACTCCGTCTAAGACTGACGTTTCTTTATTTATTTATTCTCGTTGTTCTGTTCAGCTGTATTTACTTGTGTATGTAGATCAGTAGATGACATTTTGGTGATGGGATCTGACTCTGCTTGAGTGTCTGGTCTCGTTGCGAAAATGACGTCTAAGTTCAAAATACGTGACATGGGAGTTCCTTTTTTTTTTTTTTTTTTTTTTTTTTTTTTTTTTTTTTTCCTTAGCATTGAGACGAATCCGTGGCATAGTGGGTTGCTTCTTTCTCAATAGCAGTATATGAAAGATATTTTGAAGTGCGCAGGTATGGTTGACTGTAAGCACTCACCACGCCTATCTCTATGTCTCGTATTGGTGATGGTACAGAGGTTCCATATGCTGATCCCACACAGTACCGTAGTCTGGTTGGGGCTCTGTAGTATCTTACGGTGACAAGGCCTGACTTATCTTGATAGGTTATATACCCCAAGTTCGAGTTTCCTATACGTTCGTGCTCTTGTTTATAGTCGGGTCAGGATTAAGCGGATCGGATCCCGGTCTACGGGTCAAGGTTAAAGATGACGGATCAAACCTGCGAATAGTTATGCTGTGCATCCGTATGCACCATGCATTGTGCATACGGATTCAAAAACGACGTCATTTTATTAAAAACGCGCATCTCCTCTTTAAAAAAATTCAGGTTCGATTCCTAGCAACAGCATTATGTTGTTCATTCATTATGGAATTCGTTGGTGCATAGCATTTTTTTTTTTTGAATGTTATTGGCTCTATTACATTGTAGTATCTGTTCATATACTTTCTCAACCTACTGAAACACAAAGAACCAATAACGCCTCCACTGAGGCTCGAACTCATAACCTTCCGAATGGAAGTCCAACTCGGATACCATTAGACCACATAGTCCTGGTTATGGATGCATAGCATAATTTGCCCAAACCTGCCATCTCCTTGTGCCTATAAAATGGGCCTTTGGCCCACTTAGTTAAGGGGGTCACCCTTCACTCTCTCTCTCTCTCTATAGACCATTTGCTCTCCCTTCTCTATAAAAGACATACAAAAACAACATGAATAAAAGATGCTCATTTGCTATATCTCTCATCGCTCCTTGTTCATACATTTACATACATGTACATACATCCTACATATGCGGGAATTAGTACTATCATATCCTTTGCAGTGAACAAACTGTGTCAGTACATGCATGCACTTACAACTGAGCACTGGAGTATGCTCAAACGTGTACTACGTTATGTTAAAGATACACTTCATTTTGGTATACATATCAGTAACTCTGCTTCTGTTGATATTCATGCGTTCTCGGATTCGGATTGAGCTGGTGATTAGAAGGACCGGAAGTCCACGAGTGGCTTTCCAGTTTTCTTGGGTAGTAATTTGGTTTCTTGGACTTGTCGGAAGCAACGCACTTGGCACGTTTTTCCACCGAGGCTGAGTACAATGCACTGGCTGATGTGTCTACGGAGGTGACTTGGCTAGTTTCTCTTTTGAAATAACTTGGTTTGTGTCATACGTCTCCATCCAAGCTGTGGTGCGATAACTTGGGTGTTGCGTACTTGTGTGCGAATCTAGTGTTTCATGCACGAACAAAGCATGTTGAGATAGATTATCACTTTGTTCGTTACAGGGTGGCTAAGAAGGAATTGCAGGTTCACTTTATCTCTACGAAGGATCAACTGACGGATATCTTCACTAAAGCTCTCCCTGGTTCACGGTTCACTTTTCTACGGGACAAGTTCAATGTGGTTCCTCATCAACCTTGTGCTGGAGGGAGTGTTAGGAATCTATTAGTTGTGTTGTGTTAGAACTCGTCTTGTTGTATTCTTAATTTCTTATATTATCTCTGTACACTCCTATGTGAATAATATTCAAAACTTTCAATCCTCACGATGTCTACCCACCCAACTACCAACAACAATACTCTAGGTTGTGCACTATTATATAATACTCTGAAAATCATACGAAAGAGGTAAATAAAACTAAAAATACTTTATATAACTGGATCGACTAATAAAGTGTTAAAAAATTAAATTCATTATCTTAGAATTTGTTTAAAAATCTAAATCAATATTTGAAAATATAATAATAATAAACTGAAAATTAATTTGAAAAGATGTGAAAAAAAGAAAAACAAAAAATCAAGAATCAAGAAAAAATCTTCAAACTACAAATTTAGAAAAAAATTTTATTTTAACATTTTTCATTAACTATAATGAATATCTTTTTAACTATATTTTCTTATATCAAATGCAAAACAATTTAAAAAATATTTTCTAACATCATTTTTCAAATTTCTAAACATGTCCTTACTCCTTAAAATACGATAATGATGTTCCACGCAATTCGCCACCACATCAAAACATCACAATCTTCTTCTTGAAAGCATAGCTCGCTATTAAACAATTACTTTCACTATTATCATCAAATTCTCTCTTTCAGAATTCAGACTCCTTCAATGGAGCTCCGTACGCCTCCAAAACCCTAGAAATAAGCAACAATAATAGGCATTCAAACCACAAGCTCTCAATAATCGAAATTCAGCTCTTTGGATTTTCTCAATTTCTTGGAAAATTCACCGGGAATTTTCTTTTTTATTTTTCTATTATTCTTGTTCCAAACGCACTGCTCTGACCCATTGTAAATATCTCAAATATGAATCCCATGTGGTAAAACTTATTTCCTTTTTCTTTTTCCTGAAGGAAACCCGTTATTTAGATAATCGTTTCACTTTTAATTTTTTCCTTTTTCTGCTCAAATTTGTACTTTTTTGGGGGTGTCATGATTCTGTCATTTGGCCAAATGGGTAATTTTTTCTTACTGGTGCTGTGAAAATTCAGAGACATTTTTTTTCTTCCCTAAATTGGTGATTCTTGTTGGGCAAAGAGAGTGGGGGGCTGAGGAGGAGCGGCCTTAATTGGACATTCATGGAGAGCAGCAATGTAGTAGACAATGATCAAAGCTCCGGTTGGATGCAAGTGAAAAAGGTTTGATTTTTTTAGATACCCATTTTTTGGTCATATGATGCCTTAACTTATCTATCTTTGCTTGAATAGAATCGTTTCTGTTGCATCTTTAAAGGTGATGATGATCATGGAAATGGCTATACAATGGGTTGTTAAATCTTTAAATGTATGCTATTAAGAAATACTAATTGGATATGAAGTTCGAACATAAAATGCACGATCTGGTGTTTATGTCTATTCTGTTCATTTGGTTTTATAAAATCGGAATGAATTATTTATGGAGATTGATGTATCCTGTATTTATACTATCACCAGTAATTATTTATTTACCTTTTACAATGCTTGAATGGTCACCATTCTCTGTATGAAGCATAATTGATGACATTCATCCTCCTACTGGTAATTAATTGAAATTGACGAGCATGATATGCAAAATAAGTTATTACTTAATTTGATTTTTTAGAACTGTCTACTTTTGAAAATTATTGAATGCTCTTAGGAAAACAGTGTCGAGGGCCCTTCTTCAAATGTATGGTAAAATTCCAATCTCACATTTGTTGTATTCACCTTCTTAAATACTACGGAGTGTATGCGTATCAAATTGTGAAAATAATTATGTTGAATCAAATTGTGATATCAACTGCTGGATACTGAGGTACTTTATGAATGAAGAAATGACTGAAATTATTGGTACCATGCAGTGTTTTGAAATTTATGAATAAAGGCCAAGAAGATTACCTTGGAAGGACATGCTTGAGTTTCCAGTGCTTTACATTATACAGTTCTTTTAACTTTCTTGGCCCTAAATTTATACATTTTAATGGCATACTTTAAGTTGTGTTCTGCACTTTGCAGAAGCATAGAAGTGGTTCAAAGTCCTCAACACATGGTTGGGCTGGAGGATTGCCTGGGAGATCAGATTCTGCTAGCCCTCATAGTTGTTTGTTGGATGTAAACCGTGAGAAGAATGAAGGCACTAGCCAGCCTCTAAAAGCAGAGAGACGTTATGCTTCAAAAGCTTCCGCTGGTGTTGCCAATTCTTGTTCTGTTCCACATAAAGGTGAAACAGCCACACATTATCTAGACAAATGTGTCGTTAGTCAAGGCAATAAAAATTTGAATACACCTCTGTTAGTTGGTGCAAATGTCACTGGTAAAGGAGTCATTGATGAACATCTGCAGAGGAATAATCAGGATGTTCTGCCAAAAATCAAGTGGGGTGATTTGGATGATACAGCTCTGATGTTGCATTTTGGAGACAATGTTGGAGCTGAAATTAAGTTTGGCGAGATTGCAAATCACAATTTGGTTGGCAGGAAGTATGAAAAGGTTAATGATTCTGTTTCACAGATTTGTTCTATTTATCCTGAAGAAAGTGAATTGCCCATTGATGAAGATCCACAGTCTCATTTGATGTCTCAAAAGAATGAATTTGTCGGGGAAAAATCTACTGAGGTTGATGAAGTCTTTTCTGAAGATGTGAAAATTGAAATTACAAGCGAGAAGATACTTGATCCTCCCTCTGCTGCTGTGCCAAATCACAGAGGACACCATATGCATTCCAAAACAAAAGATGATGACAGTTTCAATAAATTTAATCAAACTAATTCTGGAGTATTTGTTGAGGAGCTTGGCCCGTCTGCAATTCCTGCTGCCTCATGTACTTTGGAAAATTCCAATGCACCTATTATTGATGGAAATTCAAAAATGGCAGGAACATCACAAGACTCTGAATCAGCAGGTTCTGATAAAGTACAACCTGAAATTCATGGAGAATCATCATTGGAAGCTTCTATTGGGGATATCAGGGCACAAGGTGATAGTGAAAGTAAAACACAAAACATAGTTGCTATTGGTGTGAATGATAATAGTGAAAGTAAAGAGAGGTTTAGGCAACGCCTTTGGTGCTTCCTCTTTGAGAACCTTAACAGGGCAGTAGATGAGCTTTATTTACTTTGTGAGTTAGAGTGTGACATGGAGCAAACAAAAGAGGCTATTCTTGTTCTTGAAGAAGCTGCTTCAGATTTCAAAGAACTCAATTCAAGAGTGAAGGAATTTGAGAAAATGAAGAGGACCTCTTCTCGTGTAATTGATGGAGCTTCATTAATCATGAAGTCTGACCATCGTAGGCCACATGCTCTCTCATGGGAGGTCAGCATTCCTGTTCCTTTCTGTTTTTCTTATATTCCTCTACAGCAAATTCCCAAAATGGTCCTTCGACTATGGTCTTTTCTCAAATTGGTCTTATGACTTTTAATTGAACCCAAACTGATCCTTCAACTATTAGATTTTAAGCCAAATCGATCCTCTGTTAGTTAGGTGTGAACTTGGCCGTCAAATTAAAGGGCAAAATAGGAAATTTACATTGTATAATGTTTAGACCACCAGCGTCTTTGATTTTTCTCCCAAATTAGCAAGCGAATTGTATACTTTACTGAGGCCAAAATAAAATTTAGAGGAAATTCACAATTTACAATTTACTGAGAGTTTTTCAGGCTTCAACAATTCGTTCGCTAATTTGGGAGAAAAATCAAAGGCGCTTGTAGTCTAAACATATACAATGTAAATTTCTTGTTTTGCCCTCTAATTTGACGGCCAAGTTCATGCCTAACTAACGGAGGATCGATTTGGCTTAAAATCTAATAGTTAGAGGACCAGTTTGGGTTCAATTAAAAGTTATAGGACCAATTTGAGAAAGGGCCATAGTCGGAGGACCATTTTGGGAATTTCCTCTATTCCTCTATGGGAATTTACTTAGAAGGTATACTGATTTTAACCTTTAAATTACTGCATGTTCAAAAATTGAAAACGATATCTTCAAGAGCCAGTCAGCTAATATGCGGAATATTTAACATCTCCATTGTGAAGAAAGCTCATGTTTCTTGAGAGCCTTTTATTTATTTATTTATTTATTTTTAATGGTTCTTTCAAGTTTATTCCTAAGGCTTATTTTCTTCTCTAATTCTTATTTTCTGACATTGCTATTTCATTGAAAATAAATAAGTTTCTTGTTTTATCTCTATGCCTGATGGCGTGGTGTCATATTTCACATAGTTTTGTAACTCTAATCAAGATTAACGAATTAAAATTGTATTAAACATTTTAATGTGCTTATTCTGAGCTATAACAAAAATGGTGCATGGATGTCATGTTAGTTGAATTATTAATTTGAGCTTTAGTGTTGGCAGTTGAATTATTGACACGTTAATAATGAATATGAATAGATTTAAATTGGAGTTAATACCACAAATGGTCCTTTGACTATTGGGGTAGTACTCCTTTTAGTCCTCAACTTTCAATTCGACCAAAACACATATCTTAACTTTCATGTTTTACTATAAATAGTCCTCCGTTATGATTTATGTCAAGTGGGTGTTAAATCTAAGGAGGTATTAAATGTTACTAAGCAGAATGAAACCAACCAGCGCACCCCAAAAAAACAATGAAACCAACAAGATTTTCTTTTTTTTTTTTTTGAAAAGAAACCAACCAGAATTATTGAAAAGAAACCAACGCTGGTTGGTTTCGTTCTACTTAGTAACATTTAATACTTTTAGATTTGACGATATTACCCTTAGATTTAACACCCACTTGACAGAAATCATAACGGAGGACTGTTTGTAGTAAAAAATGAAAGTTAAGGTATGTGTTTTGGTCGGATTGAAAGTTGAGGACTAAAAGGAGTACTACCCCAATAATTAGAGGACCATTTGTGGTATTAACTCTTTAAATTGCCATGTACTCCAGACTGATTAGTATCTTTTTTTTTTTTTTTTTTTAATATAAATAATTTCCCTCATCTTTCTAAATAGAATTTTTTTTCTTTTTAATTTTCAATTTAATACTTTGCAGGTCCGCAGAATGACTACTTCACCACACAGGGCTGAGATACTGGCTTCATCTCTCGAGGCTTTCAGAAAAATTCAACAAGAAAGAGCAAGGGCTCATGCAAATGATGCTGGGAAACTGGGTTCTGATTGTGAAACCAGTGATCTTTTGAGGAAGTATACTGAGAGAATAGATATTATGAGCAATGAGAAAGAACCAGTAGCAAAGGCAAGGAAGGTAAGTGGTGCATCTGATCTATCTCATCGGAATTCAAGTAAAGAGAAAAGAAATGGTGATGCAGGCAGGTCCAACTCTCATACATCTAGATTGCCTCATAAAGATGCTGCTTTTGTCACTGTAAAAAACAAGAAAGATAAAGTAATTGCAGATAATATGATTGAAAAAAACTCAAAATCAGTTGATCACTCAAAAAAGCAAATTCCTCTTTCTGAAAGGGAGAAAGAAAAACGGAATGAAATGCCATGGAAATCCATGGATGCTTGGAAAGAGAAAAGGAACTGGGAGGATATCCTTGCGTCACCCTACCGCGTTTCTTCACGTTTTTCACATTCGCCGGGTTTGAGCAGGAAAAGTGCCGAGCGTGCCCGCATTTTGCATGATAAACTTATGTCTCCTGAGAAGAAGAAAAAATCTGCTCTTGATCTGAAAAAGGAAGCAGAAGAAAAACATGCACGGGCTATGAGAATCAGATCTGAGCTTGAGAATGAGAGAGTTCAAAAACTTCAGCGAACATCAGAAAAACTGAACCGTGTCAATGAATGGCAAACTGTACGTAACATGAGACTACGGGAGGTAATGTATGCTCGCCACCAGCGTAGTGAATCTCGACATGAAGCTTATTTGGCAGAGATTGCAAGAAGAGCTGGTGATGAAACCATTAAAGTTAATGAGGTTCGATTCATCACTTCACTGAATGAAGAGAACAAAAAACTCATGTTGCGTCAGAAGCTCCATGATTCGGAGTTGAGGAGAGCTGGGAAACTTCAAGTTTTGAAAACAAAACAAAAAGAAGATATGGCAAGGGAAGAAGCAGTCTTGGAACGCAAGAAACTTATTGAAGCAGAAAAATTGCAGCGACTTGCGGAAACACAGAGGAAAAAGGAGGAGGCTCAAGTGAGAAGGGAAGAGGAACGCAAGGCATCGACTGCAGCACGTGAAGCTAGGGCTATGGAGCAGATGCGAAGAAAGCAGGTCCGGGCCAAAGCCCAACAGGAGGAAGCTGAGCTACTGGCCCAAAAATTAGCTGAAAGACTCAGAGAGAGCGAACAGCGTCGTAATTTTTACCTGGAGCAGATAAGGGAAAGGGCTTCAATGGATTTCAGGGATCAATCACCTTTACTGCGCCGCACTAGTAATAAGGAGGGGCAAAACAGATCTACACCCAACAGTAATGGTGAAGATTCTCTAGGAAACAACTGCTCTGGTTCTGAAGGGAATGCCCTTGACTCTAGCAATGCAACATTGCAGCATTCACTCAAACGAAGGATCAAAAGAATTCGTCAAAGACTTATGGCTCTGAAGTATGAATTGATTGAGACATCAGCTGGAGCTGAAAATAATGGTTTTGCATATCGAACTGCTGTGGCAACTGCAAAGATAAAAATTGGAAAATGGCTTCAGGAACTTCAGAAACTTCGCCAGGCTAGAAAGGCAGGGGCAGCGTCTTTTGGACTAATTGCAGCTGAAATTATCAAGGTAATTCTATGGCATCTATTATAATTTATTGCCTTGAATGATGAGAAAAAGAGGATGCTTTTCTTTATCTTGATAATCACTTTCTATAACTTATTAATTTTGACAAACATATAATGATATCTTATACTATAATAGCTAATGACTTCATTGCCCATTGGTTTCTTTCCTTCCTGTTTCCTTTGTGAACTATTGCTTATTGTTTGTGGCTTTATTTGTATGTAGTTTTTAGAAGGAAGGGATGCGGAGTTGCAAGCTTCTCGCCAAGCTGGTCTGCTTGATTTTATTGCTTCTGCCCTCCCTGCCTCCCACACATCCAAACCTGAAGCCTGCCAGGTTACAGTGCACCTTTTGAGACTTCTGAGAGTGGTGCTTTCAACCCATGCAAATAGGAGTTATTTCCTTGCACAGAACCTCCTACCTCCAGTCATCCCCATGTTGGCAGCATCTCTTGAAAACTATATCAAAATTGCAGCATCATCAAATGCCCCTGGTTCAACCAACTTAATCTCAAGTAAAACATCAGTTGAAAATTTGGAGTTGATTTCTGATGTTTTGGATGGTTTTCTCTGGACTGTGGCAGGAATTATTGGTCATACAAGCTCTGGTGAGCGCGACCTTCAATTGCAGGATGGTCTAACAGAACTAGTGATAGCATACCAAGTTATTCACCGGTTACGGGATCTTTTTGCACTATATGATCGACCTCATGTGGAAGGCTCTCCTTTCCCTTCATCAATACTTCTGAGCATCAATCTGCTTTCAGTTCTCACATCCAGATTCAGAAATCTGTCCTTAATTGATTGTGAATCCATTCCAAAAACAAGTACTGAAGAGGTTAAACCAGCTGAGCTTGCAGAAGATAAACAGGAATTGTCCACCAGTTTTAGGCAGGAGATTAAATTACCTTCGGTGGCAATTACTGAAGGTGTAGCCTTAACATTGACAGATATACCAGAAGATAAGTCCCAAGATGAATGTATAAAGGTCGATGGTAATAGCTCAACATTGGTTGACCAGAGTTCTGGTACAGTGAGAGAAACTGCCACTGCGTCCTGTGAATTGCAGAGTAATATGGTAGATGATATTTTGGGCTCTTCTGTTTCTCATAAGGATGAGAACCCTATTAATAATAGTGAGGAACCAAAAACTGGAAATGAGTTGGGCTCAAAACAACCTGTAGATTTCCTTCTTTCTGCAATATATGAGACTGGCTTAGTGTGTCTACCATCCATGTTAACAGCTGTTCTATTGCAGGCGAACAACAGATTTTCCGAACAGGTGACTTAGATGTCTGTTCATAGTTCTGGATTTCAGTATTCTGACTTAATAGTTGATTGAACCTTAATAAGTAACTGTTTGCCTCTGCCCTTTCATTTTGGTTAGGAAAGATGAGTGAAACCCTCATTCTATCAATGATTCTTCTAACTTTATATCTCACCATGTAATACTACATATTATAGTTGTTAGTAATTTCTACAAAGATTACTTTCCTTTCTTTTGTGTGTGTGTGTGTGTGTGTGTGTAACATAAGCTTTACTGTACTTCTATTGATTGTTACAAAATGTGTATCTCTTTCCACGAGCAAAGTTATAAGATTTATATTCCAATTTTCTGTCAGACATCCTATGTCCTTCCATCTAATTTTGAAGAAGTGGCAACTGGGGTGCTGAAGGTGTTGAACAATTTGGCACTAATAGATATATCTTTTATACAGAAGATGCTGGTAAGTTATTCCTGAAACTGTTCTTCCCTGATCAGGAGACTTTTTTGCAACATTTTATGACCATGTGTTTATCTTTTTGAATCTCTCATGTTTACTTATGTTGACCTCCTGAATGGATCACAGGCCAGACCAGACCTGAAAATGGAATTCTTTCACTTAACAAGTTTTCTACTTTCTCATTGCACTAACAAGTGGGCTCTAGCAACTGATCAGGTGATGTTATCCACACTTTGTTTTAATTTTAATTTCTTCAAGATAATCTCCTTATCTGCTTGTAGAGTGAGAAACTTATTATGCACTGGAACATACTTATTTGATTAGGACACTGTCCTAGAGCTATTCTTTCCTAGGATGGAATTTCAAATCTGAAGTCTGGTGTGCATGTGCATGCAAGCTCACATTTCTCTGTGTGCTATCATGACAGTACCTAACAAAAAGCCTAGAAGGATACTCTATCCCACAGATAGTGTCCTGTTTGAAAAATACAGATAATAAAGGAACTTTCATTTAATCCACTGTTGATGTTAATTATTAATTAAATTGCATGGATCCATTCTTATCCTTTAGATGAAGTATTATCTTTCATCTAAAGTTTTCATCTCACATAATGCTTTTGTTTATTTTTTGTTTTCTTTTTGAAAATCAATAAATAAATAAACTAACGAACTTATTATACCTCCCAAAATAGAAAGTTGACTTTTTGAGGGACAGCAGAAGTATTTAACTTTTTGAATCTGTTGCTGTAGTCAAAGATCTATTTTGTATTACTACTGGTGTTGAAAGAAATAGCCTTTAATTGTTCTTTTCTTCTTGAAACACAAAGGGTTGTCTGTCTAAGAATAAGTTCCTGATGAAAGATTACATTGTGTCTATATATTTGTATGTTGTCTCTCCATTGAGACATGGAAAATACAACAAATTCTTATCTTTTTCCACATGGTATCACAGCCAAGGCTTAAATTTTGTTTTGCTTTTTGTTTTGTTTTGTTTTGTTTTTGTTTTTTTTGTTTTTGTTTTTTTGTTTTTTTTTTGTTTTTTTTTCTGTTTTCGTTTTTTTTCGTTGCATGAACATTAGGGTTACTATTCATTTGAACCCTATTTTTCAATTACTTGCTTTTAGTGAGATTTTTTGTCAAATTAGTGCTACCTATCTCTTCTAAAACCTCTGGCAAACCGTGCCTATGAGGCCATCTCCAATAAGTTTCTCCTCGTCGGCCCTCCGCGACTCCATCTGTGTTATTAGTTTTCTTTTTAGTAACAATGTCCCCCGATAGAAATTCTAATAATTTCGGTACTGTTTTTCCTTTTTCCAATAATATGCCTATTGTTTCGAGCTTTATTTATGTGCCTAATTTGTCTGGAAGCCTGTGATAACTCCCAAAAAATTATGTGGATCTCAAAATTACCGATCTTGGTTTGATGCCGTTGAGTTATGGTTTATGGGCAAAGGAGTTGACCACATAAAAAAGGGGTGGATAACTTTGTGAATCTGCTGTTGTGGTCAAAGATTTGTTTAGTATTACTACTGGTGTTGAAAAACATATCCTTTTGTTGTTCTTTTCTTCTTGAAATCCTATTGTCTCGAACTCTATTTATGTACCTAATTTGTCTAGAAGCCCGTGATCACTTCTGAAAAATTATGAGCATATCAAAATTACGTATCTTGGTTTATGGGCTAAGGAGTTGCTGGCCACTTAAAAAAGGGGGTGAATAAGATATTGGAAAATGAAAAGGCAATTTGGGAAAGTTTAGATGCTTAGCTATGTAGTTCTCCATAGTTGTTGCCTCTCTTCAGGGCCTTTAAGACATGTGTAGAGGTATGGAATCAAGCTAAATCCCTATACAATAATGATGTCTCTTAATTCTACACTGTTGTTGATAATTTAGTTAACTTGAAGAAAGATGGTATTGATATGGAAAAATTCTTTGGTAAAGCCCAAAGTTTGATAACTGAGTTTGGTACACTCGTGCCTATTGGTGGAATACCCGCAGAGTAACTTACCCAATGAGAGAAATTCTTTGTGTAATACTTCTCCTTACCAAATTAGATCTAGAATTTGGAAGTACCCGAAATCAAATCCTTGGAAGCAACGTTGTCCTAGGAACCACAGAATTGTTCAAACCTCTCTTGTAGGTAACCTCTATTCCAATTGTTCAAACATCTACTCTCAAACAATTTGCTCTAGTGACACAAGGACGTCGTGGATGAACTATAAATCGTGGTGGACAAAAGAAACACTTGATTTTGCGATTATTGTAATAAATATGGATATACACGGGATCGATGTTAGAAACTTCATGGGAATCCAATGCTTACCCAAGTTAATGTTGCTCAATCTCAACTTGGAGAACCAAGTCCCTGAACCATTTTCGCTGTTGGATATGAAGAGTTTGTTTGATTTAAAGCCAAAGCCGAGGCTTCTAGTGTCACTCCTATACACGGAAGGATCTCATAGTTCCCTTGTATCCCAATCTAGCGTTAGCAGACAATGGGTTATCGATTCAAGTGCCTCTGAACGTATCTCTGGTAACTCATCTTTATTTTCTCATTTCACCAATTCTAAGTCTCTTCCATCTATTGCTTTAGGTAATGGGTAAAAAAAGTACGGCTACTGGAATTGGAAAAGCTTTACCCCTTCGTACTCAACCTTTCTCTACGATTATTTATATACTTAAATGTCCTTTCAAGTTAACTTCTGTCCAAACTCCAAAATTTACAAAATCTTTAGATTGTTGGGTCACTCTTTCTTCTAATTTTGTCATTTTGCAAGATTGTCGTTCAAGGAAGACGATTGGCTCGGGGTATGAATCAGAAGGACCCTATCAATTGTCTACCCCAAATCCTATGGTTGCACTGCTACCATTCCTCCTCTTGCACATAGCAAGTTAGGGCATCCCAACCTCAATAAATTACGACAACTTGTTCCATGTTTGTCTACCCTAGAGTGTGAAGCTTGTTAACTTGGAAAACATTCTAGAACATCTTTTACTAATCGAGTCAATAAAAGAGTCGCATCCCCTTTTTCCTTAGTCCATAGTGATGTTTGGGGACCTTTCCGTTGTACTTCAATTTTTTTGTTTTAAATACTTTGTTTCCTTTACTGATGATTTATCTCGTTGCACATGGGGGTCTTCTTAATGCGAAATTGTTCTAAAATGCTTAATGCTATTCAAAAATTTTCTCAATGCAATAAAAAAAATCAATTTGGGGTGTATTAAAACTTTACAAAGTGATAATGTTGGAGAATATTTTAAAACTCCGTTATGTAACTTTCTTGATTAAGAAGGCATACTCCATGAGTCATCTTGTCTCGATACTCCACAACAAAACGGAGTATCATATAAAAAACCAACATCTTGTTGAGGTAGCCTGCACCATGATTCTTCATTATAAAGTTCCTCCACAGTTCTGGGCAAATGCTATCCTTCAATCATGTTATTTAATAAAGCGTATGCCTTCATCTGTGCTTATTTCCCAATAAGCCTCTTCATAAACTTATGTGGCTGCAAAACCTCCCTACTGAATTGAAAATTTGTACAATGGTCTGTTTGAAGTTCATTTGTGATAATCAAGCTTTGCATTTGGTGTCAAATCCAGTTTTTCATGAAAGAACCAAACACATTGAAATTGATTGTCATTTTGTTCGAGACAAAGTTGAATCCGGAGATATTACTACTTTAGTAGGCTCGAAGGATCAATTAGCTAATATATTTACTAAATCCTTAAGAAGTCCTAGGATTGATATATTTGTAACAAGTAGGCATGATCACGGTTTCGGTTCCGGAAATGATCGAACCAGAACCGACGGTTCCGGTTAGAACCGCCGGTTCCAACCGTGATTCCTCTTTTTTTTTTTTTTTTTTTTTTTTTTTTTTTTTTTTTTTTTTTTTTTTTTTTAATAAAATTAATGGTATGTTGTTTGTTGGTGTTATTACACGCCAGCAAAGCCTTGGCCTTTGCACCAGGCCAACTGGCGAAAGTGGCCTCGTAGGCCATTGGCCTAGTGGCCATTTTATTTTATTTTTCTAACACAGCCAAATTGCAGTTTGGCAAGTTCTTGAATTATTTATTTATTTTTTTTTAAGAATTTCAGGGTTTGGAACTGGAACCGGCGGTTCCGGTTCCTTAATTACCAAAACCTTAACCGGAATTTTATTGGTTCCGGTTAGGAATTGGAATCAGAACCGTATGGATGGTTCGGTTTCGGTTCCAGTTCAACAATGCACGGTTTGGTTCGAACCGGACCGTGGTCATGCCTAGTAACAAGCTTGGTGCACATGATATACATGCTTCAGCTTAAGGGTAGTGTAGTGTTGAAATACAAAGGATTGGGGTTGCTTGTCTAAGAATAGGTTCCTAATGAAAGGTCACATTGTGTGTATATATTTGTATGTTGTCTCTCCATTGACATAAGTGTTACTACTGGTGTTGATAGAAATAGCCTTTAATTGTTTTTTTCTTTCGTTGTTTATGTCATTTTTAATCTCAAACTTCTTCTTGATTATGCGAATTAGTAACAATACCATGAGAAAAACTTCTCTATGCATGATAAAAGCTTCTGCAATTTTTTTATGGCTTAGATTGGTTTGCTATTGATGGAGTCACTGTCACTACTTGGCTATTTTTCATTATTCCACCCAGAGAACCAAGCTGTTCTTCGTTGGGGAAAGAGCCCTACCATACTTCACAAGGTCAGCTAGTCTTCCACTAATTTATTTTCCGAATTCCAGGATGCATGAAAATTAACCGTGAATTGTGGAATGCAGGTCTGTGACCTCCCTTTCGTGTTCTTCACTGACCCTGAGCTGATGCCAGTTCTGGCTGGTACACTAGTTTCTGCCTGCTTTGGGAGCGAGCAGAATAAGGGTATTATTCAACAAGAGCTCAGTACAGATATGATCCTTTCTTTGCTCAAAGCTTGCCGAAGTAGTTTGCCTACTGCAAGTTCAGCCATTTGTAATCCTTCAGGAGATGATTTTGGCGTGTCAAATCAGTTGATTCCTGAATCTAAGAACCCATCAACTGATATCCCTCAAAGATTTCCCCGAAATGGTCCACGAAATGCTCAGATTCTTTCACAGAAAAGTGGAATTTCGACAAACACAAGAACTGCCAAGATGCGAAACTACCACAAAGATAACAAAGTGGGAAAGCTTTGTGATGTGAAAGGTCTAAAGAGTAATTCTTCTTCTTGTGCTTTGATGTTGCACTCGAGATTCGCTTCAAGTGTGATAGACAAAGCAGAGCAATTCTTTGCAGCCGAGGTGCCAGTCTTGATTGAAGAAGTTTGATGGCAATTGCCTCTTATGTTCTGTTACGTGACCGACCAATCACTGTGTTCGAGCATACAGGTAGGTCACTCTGCGCAAGAATACAAGCATATAGAGAATAAGCGGACTTACTCTTTGCGGAGATAACAGAAATTTCCCAAACTTACATTTGACATTTTGGGCTAGTACTGATTTCCTGCTACCAATGTTATGGGATGACATGTTGGGGCGTAGGGGAGGGGGTTGGTTTTGGTTGATGATGCCAGGAAAAATGTAAAAAAAAATTGTATTCCAAAATAGAAAATTTTTGCAGGTGAAATGAAGTCCATTCTTGCACACAATTATCCAATGCTTTGCTTTGAACAATCATAGGTTGTCTGTCACTAATAAGTAATAGCAGATTGTATCTCCAAGACATAAGCAAAAATTGTAAAGCATTGAAAAATTGTAAAGCATTGAAAAGCTTTAACGAAGAGTTTAAGTGATAAAATGTGTATGAAATTACTTGGGTTTTGAAGCAAGTTTAATCTGCATCAGAGGCGGTGAGTGTTCAACAGTAATAAAATAAAATTTCAATTAGAATCATTCATATCTCTTCATCTCATCGTTTATCTCCTCATCTCATCGTTTTGTGCAGCTAGGCTAGCTAGCAACCGCAGCATAGATATATATAATGATTTATAATCTCTACATAAGGGTAATGAAGGAAGGCTCTACATAAGGGTAATGAAGGAAGCCATATCTCCTCATCTCATAATGATTCATAATCTATAATGATTCATAATCTCTACATAAGGGTAATGAAGGCCTCATCTCATAATGATTCATAATCTATAATGATTCATAATCTCTACATAAGGGTAATGAAGGAAGGCCTCACAAGGTTTGCATAAGGGTAATGAAGGAAGGCCTCACAAGGTTTGCATGAAGAGAGGTGTCTGACGCACGAACCTCGGAGATTACAGCTTTTGCACACCATATTACTCAAAGTAGGAGGTTACAATTGCTCTCCCCCGCAGCACGACTCTGCGTCCTCCGTTGCCGACACTCTCACCCATTCCAACATCTTGCTCAGAGACACCATTATTGCTTCCTTCTGCTCCCACGCCTGCTTCTTACTCTCCAGCCTCAAGTTTTTGCTTCGTATGTTCTAAGGATCAAACCCACTTGTTCTCAGATCAGAAAAACATAGATTATTTTTACTTGGAAACAGATAAAACGATCCAAATCCAGTTTTTGTTTAGCAGAATTTATTTAGAAGATTATAACTTATTTTAACATCTGTTTGGTAATGTTATCAAAATAAGTTACTAGCTTAAAATAAGAGCTTATTTTTAAATGTTACTGTGTAAGTAGCGTTTTAAAAATAAGCTAAAATAGTTTCCTAACCTTTTTTTTTTTTCATTTTTATTCTTATTATTTTAAATAAATGACATCCTTTACCCTTCCCAATTAAAATCATTTTGGTTTTTTTATCTTCTCCTATTTAATTTTGAAAAAAAAAAAGACATTTTATTTTTCAAATTGTTATAAAATGAGCTCCACGAGGATATTTATACTTATTCAACCTCTTCAATGGACAATGGAGATTTACTTGATTGTATGATTATAATTATATCTCTAAAATTCATCCTAAAATTCTATACAATAATATGAGTTCTATAATGTTTTATAAGATTTTATAAATCTTTACACTTCAAAATTTTAATTTTATAAACAATCCTAAGTTTTAAATATTATGAAGATGTACTTTTTAGTCTTTTTATATTTAATTTATCAATTTATCAAAAAGTTAATTTTACCAAACACTTTTAACATAATCAACTAGTTTAACAGCTCTTCATTTTTTAGCTTCTAGCTTATAGCTTTTTAGCTTTCAGCTAGGTTTTCCAAACATAACCTAAAAAATCGCTAGGCGGTCCTCGGACGCTCGGGGGCGCCTAGTGCCTAGGCGGCGATTAATCAGTGCGTAGGTGCCCGTGTATTTTTTATTTTTTAAAGATATGTTCAAAAAAATTTTTAAGACTAATAATTATAAATTATTTGATACTTTAATAGTTAATATTAAAATATTAAATATTAACTTAAAAAATATCTAGAGTTTGAACAATTTAGTGTTATGTATTTTTGTGTGAAATAACTCAATTTAAAAAAAGAACAATAGCTAATCGGCCGACTAGGCGGTATAGTCGATGCCTAGGAGGCCTAGTCGACACTTAGGAGGCCTAGGCAGCTCTTAGGCGGCCTAGTTGGTCGCCTAGCCGGGCCGGTTACCTAGACCACCGATTATGGTGATACCCTAGGCGCCTAGCCGGCGCCTAGGCGGGATTTTTGCAACATGGTTAATACTCAATTTAGTTATCGACTATAGTGGTTTTTTCGATTTAGTTATAAACGTCTTTCTGTTTTTAATTAGGCCTTGGACTTCGATGATTTTACCTAATTGAGTTATTATTATTTGATGACTAAATTAAATAAAACTACTATAATCAATTACTAAATTGAGTATTAATCGAACGAAAACTATAACATAAGACTCAATTAAGTAAAACTATTGAAGTCAAGGGTCCAATTAAGTATAAAAAGTCGTTTAGGACTAAAAAAAAATATTAAATTAACTCCCATAGTAATAATAGGTGGCATATCTCCTTTTAGGGCGGACTATCATCAAATAAGGGTTGCCGAAGAGGACATACATCTTCAAGATTGCGTTTCGGACTCACGAAGGGCGTTATGAATTTTTGGTTATGCCTTTCGGTCTCACAAATGCACCGTCAACCTTTCAAGCTAGCTACGGTAAACCAATTCTAGCACCGGGCGTTTTTATGGAAGTTTGTCATAGTCTTCTTTGATGCAATCGATATACCCTACACCACGGCGTACATAGCACTATGCGCCGCGCGTCTCCCAATACGACGTCGTTTTGGGAGGCGTGGTAGGAAGTTGCTGGGATTATGTGTATTTGTTCACACAGTTATCTGTATTTGTTCATACAGTTATGTGTATTGGTTCATACAGTTATGTACATTTTTTATACAATTATGTACATTCTTTTTATACAATTATGTACATCCGAATCAGAAAATTTCTGTGTATTATGTTAATAGTTGATGTGTATTATGTTAAAAGTTTATGTTTATTATGTATTATGTTAGATTATGTGTATTATCTTTTAAAAAGAGTATGTATATTTTGTTATATAATTATGTACATTCATGTATACAATTATGTGTATTCTAGTATAACATTATGTACATTCTTGAACAGCGGGTTTTTTTTTTTTTAAAGAAAAAACTACTGCCATTCACTGGGGCGGGAAATTTCAAAAAAAAAAAAAATTAAAACGACGTCGTTTTGCATCTGGGCGCATAGTGCAACGCGCGCCGTGGTGTAGGATATAAATTGCCTCTTTGATGATATACCAATCTATTATGCTAGCTTCTTGCCCAACTATCTTTCAACAACCATTGAAATATATATTGTACGTTCCTTGGCTCGTTGCATTGATCTCAAGATGGAGCTGACCATGCAGATGCATGTTCCGCCTTCGCTTTAATTAAAATTGGCAAGACTTCATGTTGGTACGGTTAGAAAAAATATTGTATTCTGTAATATTTATGAGATACAATAAAACAAAATACAGAGGAAAATAAGAGAATAAAAAATTAGATCATTTGACATCTTCAGGGTACTCATTTTCTTATTAAGTCTTTAATCTCCCTATACAAGTAATACGGATACCCGATTAAGACCTATGAGATACAAGAAGATAAATAGAAATCTCGAATTGCTCTGCCCTATTAAGTTGTACTGTATAGTTAGAGAACTTGATTTAAAGATATATTCTCCTGTATTTACTGCAGATAACACATGAAAATATGGCAGAAATTAACCTTTCATCTTTCAGACTTTTATTATGTAAAAGTTTTTATCTCAGGGGCGGAGCCATGATTGAATAGTGCACGGGGGTGGGCAACTAAAGACTTGAAGTACTAAATCAAATATATTGATATTCAGTTAACACATTTCAAAATAATCATTACATACTTTACATGTTTAATAAAGTTTAGAATACTCAACCTAAAGAAATAGGAGGGCTCGGCATTAGATCTTCAAAGGACATGAATCTGGCTTTCATGGCGAAATTAGGCTGGAGAATACTTATTGACCGAACCAGTCTTTGGAGCCAAGTTTTGATAGGAAAATATACAAGAGATCAAAGGGGCATGGAAATGTTCTTGCCTAAATATGGAGCTTCAAATATTTGGAGAGGTATTACTAAGGCCATGCCTGCCCTATGTCTCGGATGCTATCCAACACAATGTGAAAAATGGTAAGGGAGTCAGATTCTGGAAAGACACTTGGATTTCATCAGAACCCATGAACTCCGATCCCTAGAGGGTATCAATGGATATGAAGAAGATAACTCCTATGTGGAAAACTATTGAATTGGGACGTCAACAGAGGCTGGAAGTGGGAGAGCCTTGCTAATCTTCCAATTGACATTAAGGAAAATTAAAGCTAGAACTTCTTGAGTTGAACGATGAATTGGAAGAAGACGATGTCTCGTGGAAAGCTGAACCCTCAGGTAAGTTTAATTTTCTGTCTGCTCGATCGGCTTATAATAATAAGATTCATGGACATGTCTTGACTATGCAGGATCCTATCTGGAATCATCTTTAATTTGGAGAATCAAAGTTCCTTCAATTCGAAGATGAAGACCCTCCTTTGGACTATCATCCACGACGAAAGAGAGGTTTCACAATGAATATAATGGAGACTGCCACCACTGCCCAGGCCGGGAGGAAACAACGGAGCACATCTTTAGGTCCTGCCCCAGATAGAGCTGCAGAAGTTTGGAGAACACTTCAGAGAATCCTGGGAAACTGGATCAACCAAAAACCAGTTTTCAAGGATTGGGTGGCAGATTATTGTATCTACCCTTCCAGAAAGAGCACTGCACGGAAGACATTAACAAACCTGCCATGTTCGTCATTGCATTATGGTGGATTTGGAGATCAGATGGAGAAACAATAACGTCTTTAGAGGAGAAACGTAACCATGGATCCTACCAGGAAAGCCGATTGGATCCTAGAGGCCGGCTGAAAGAGAAATTGAGAAGGCCTTCATGCATGGGCAACACCAAAACACCAGCAAGCTAGAGAAATACTGCCAATCCTGCATGGAATCCGTCAACTAGGCATGAATGGACGTTGAGTGTTGATGCCAGCGTAAAACACTCTTCTCTAAGAGCTGGTTTCAGGGGAATCCTCAGGAATGTAGATGGATGGTACTTGGATATATGGGTGGTTTCTACGGAAAATCATCCTATACCGATGCCACTATCATTGAAGCTGAAGCGATCTCTAAAGGCATTTTCTGGGCTTGGAACCAAGGTATTAGAGATATTGAGATTCAAACAGATGCTGAAAAGGTCCGCTGGACCCTTGGAAATGATACCATGAGGGGCACCATAAGTGTTTATATTGAGAATATTCGTCAGAGTTTATTTGGAGAATGACTGGAAGATTACTCTCCGAGAGCAAAATGATTGTGCAGATGCCCTCGCAAATATGAACCGGGACTGGAGAGAGCTTGAGCATTGCCCTCCTAGTTTGAGAGCAAGATGGTCCTCCAGCGGTAGGACCTAGTCTTTTTTCTTTTTGGGGTATACCCCCTCCCTGTCAATCTAAATAAATAAATAAATAAAGTTTAGAATAAATCAATTATAATTGAATTTATATTAAATTATTTTATAATATGTTTTTCAATGCACATTGCTTTGTGCGGTTCAAAGAATGAAAACATTCACGAATTATTTCTTGAAAACTACCATCTTCACAACATAACATAATAACAATTGTTTTTTTCAAATAATACATATACTACGCAATTTTTACATTAGTATGCATGTTAAATTAAATATATATAAAATTTATCATATAACCACAAATCTGTATAATTAACCAAACAAATGCACCGTGATATCCATTATTTAGAATCAAATAAAACAATTATTTAAAATAAACAATAGAATATGAAACAACAAAAAATAAAAAAAAATAAAAAATAAAAACGAAAAACAAAAATTAACTTGAAAAATATGCATAGATTTTAATAATAACAAATTATCTTGTTATAGCATATATGGGCATATATGTATGGTTCTAGAGAGAGAAACTAATAGGTAGGTTAAATGATGTTTAATTTGAATGTGAGTCAACAATGTAGGGAATATATAATTTGAAATGGGAGAGAACGGGAGAAGTTGAGAAGATGGAGAAGTTTATAACTTAGCGTGTAAGATTAATTTAAGTAGGAGGGGTGCCTGTAGATCAGAGTGATCTTATCTTTCCATGCACACTTGAATCATCTTAATCAAACTTTGTACAAAAGAGATATGACTAAAATACTATCATCATTTTGTAAGATTGTGTACATGGGTGTGTCAAAATTTGCCATGTAGTTAATATAGATATTCTTCGAATCTGAGAAAATTCTAAGCATAAAAGTTTTAGAGGAATATCTTTGCTTTCCATGGACACTTAAATAACTTAAATTGGTTTTTTTTTTTTTTTTTTTTTTTATGAAAGAGATATGGTCAAAATACAATCGAAATGTCACAAAGTGCATATTTTTTTACATATTTACTTAGAAATTATTGAAAATTAAATATTAATAAATTAAGAACCATATTTGACCTAACTAAACGAGACACTTGCAAAATCATTATAAATATGGTATTGAAAACAAGTGCAATTAAACACTTATCAAACATCTCACAGTTAAACTTTTATTTTGCTTCACAATAGGTTCACCCATTCTAAAACCTCATACCACAATCGGACTAAACAAATTCACAGAATGCTCTCAAACACAAAATATGCAACGCTAACATCTTTCTCACCTAGACAAGATGCAATGGTCTTCAATTGTTGGGAAGGACATAAAGGTTATGTTTGACAAATCTAGTTGAAAAATACCTGAAAGTTGAAAAGTTATAAGCTAGAAGTTGAAAAATGAAGAGTTGTTAAACTAGGTGATTATGCTTAAAAGTGTTTGCTAAAATTAATTTTTTGATAAGCTGATAAATGTAAAAACACTAAAAAGTACATCTCCATAAAATTTAAATAGTTTTACATTTTAAATAGGATTGTTTATATATTAAAATTTAACATTTTGAAGTATAAAGATTTATAAAATCTTATAAAATATTATAGAACTCATATGATTGTATAGAATTGAAGGGTGTATTTTAGAGATATAATCATAGTCATACGATCAAAGTAAATCTCCACCGTCCGTTGGGGAGGTTAAATAAGTATAAATAACTTCATGGGGCTCATTTTGTAACAATCCAAGTGGTCCCGGTAAAGTTTATAATTGAAAAATAAAATGTCTTTTTTTTCACAAAATTAAATAGGAGAAGATAAAGTTAAATGCCAAAATGATTTTAATTGAGAGGGGTAAAAGATGTAATTTATTTAAAATAATAAGGATAAAGATAAAAACGTTTAAGAAACTACTAACTTATTTTTAAAACAGTACTCTATCTTTAAGAATTTCTAAGATTGATATATTTGTAACAAGCTTGGTGATAAAGCTAAAATAAATAAAGAATATCACTATAAGTTAAAATAAATGTTAATAGCATTGCAACAAAGCATTAAAACTTAATTATATGGTGATATTTCACCCACAACAACAATAAAAGTACAAAATGACTAATAATTGATAAGAACACAGTAGTCTTTAAAGTTGATAATGACATTTGTAATCTTTTTTTATTTTGTGGCATTTATAGATGAATAAAGAATTTCTTGGTTACATAATGGAAGGGAGAACACCATGTCACCATATATGATGGATGCATGGTTAGCATTATAATATTGGCACATAAATGGACAAACATTGACAGTGAGACATCATATATTTTCCCTCTCAACAACCCTTCTGATCTCTCAACAGCTTTGCCCATGCTTCTACTGCACCATCTTGTTCTGCAATTCTTTCCTTATAGTCATGAACTTCAATTCCGAGATGTTGAATAATGTTGCTACAGTATTTCCCTAGCCTCTGCCCAAACCTTAGGACTCCAATTATCAATTCTAAACACCTTATTTTGTCCATAATTCATCTTTTATTCTTTCCATAGATTGACAAAATAAGCATTGTAGTCACAAAATTCTCATCTAGAGAAGAAAGCAGATCTTTCAGATGATGAATAGGCCAAGCCTCAGCTATATATATAAGGTCAGTTCTCCGGGAAGGGAAGGAGACAAACAAAAAACTTAATAGAGCCAAGGGTCATTTAAGAAAAAAAGTTATTAATAATTAAGGGTAAGGTAAATCAATTAAAAATATTTAAACAAGAATATAATATTAACCATTCATTTGAATAAATAATTACACCAATATTTTTTCATTCCTGTTAAGGGCCTAACATTATTGGCTTAAGTTTGTAGATTATTGTAGATATGCTTCACCTTTAAGGGAGTGTTGAAATACAAAGGGTTGTGCCTGTAGGGTTGTTTGTCTAAGAATAGGTTCCTAATGAAAGGTTAAATTGTGTGTATATATTTGTATGTTGTCTCTCCACTGATATATTAAAAATACAACAAATTCTTCTCATCTTTTTTCACTAGTGTTACTACTGGTGTTGATAGAAATAGCCTCAGTTAGTCGTCTTCCAACAAATTTATTATCCAAATTCCAAGATGCATGAAACTTAACCATGTATTATTCAACAAGGTCGAGAGATATGATCTTTTCTTTGGTCAAAGCTTGCCGAAGTAGTTTGCCTATTGCACATGCTAGTTCAACCTTTTCTAATCTTCAGGAAATGATTCTGGAATGTCGAATAAGTTGATTCCTGAATCTAAGAACCGCTCAACTGATCTCCCTCAAAGATTTGCCCGGAATGGTCCACGAAATGCTCAGATTATTTCACGGAAAATTGGAACTCCGACAAACACAAGAACCGCCAAGATGCGAAACTACCAAAAAGATAACAAAGTGGGAAAGCTTTGTGATGTGAAAGGTCTAAAGAGTAGTTCTTCTTCTTCTTGTGCTTTGATGTTGCACTCGAGAGTCACTTCGAGTGTGATAGACAAAACAGAGCAGTTCTTTGTAGCTGACTTGCCAGTCTTGATTGAAGAGATTTGATGGAAATGTTCTGTTACGTGACCGATCAATCACTGTGTTCGAGCATACGGGTAGGTCACTCTGTGCAAGAACAAAGCATATAGAGAATAAGCGGACTTACTCTCTGCCGAGATAATAGAAATTTCACGAACTTACATTTGACATTTTGGGACTAGTACTGAATTCCTGCTATAGACGATGTTCTTTGAGTGTTTCAAGGCAAGAAGTGCAAAATTCTTGCAAAATGGGATGTCATGTTGGGGTGGAGGGAAAGGGGTTGGTTTTGGTTGGTGATGCAGAAAAAATGTAAAATTGTATTCCAAAGTAGATAAATTTTGCAGGTGAAATGAAGTCCATTCTTGCAAACAATTATTCGGCTGGAACCGGTTCCAAACCTTGGTCACCATTATGCATGATGTTGCTTCGTGTCTCACGTGTCAGCTATTATGCAAACTAAATGAGTTATTTCCACTTTTTGAAGTATGAAATCATTTAAAAAAAATGTGGAAAGGATTTAAAAATCGTTGGACCAAATTTAAAAATTTTAATAATCAAGGATCAAATATGAAAATGATCCCATACTCATTGGACCAAAAGTAAAAATAATCAAATTTATCAGTACTGAGTGAGATAAATTAACCAAATTTATCACATGAATCAGCTAATATATATGAGCGCGCTTAGGTGAGAAAAGCCGCCCAAGAGATAAATAAGAACCATTTATAGTTGTTCATGTGTCTAGATCAACAAATCAAATGTAATTTTAAAAATTCGACACAGTCACGCAGTGAAATTTTCGGCAATAACTCAAACTTTGATCTAAGTAAATGAATTATAAGTGCAAGTAACTGGTGCATCTTTGCAAATAAAAACTGCAAGTAAAACCACAGTAATTTACCTTGTTAACATTCATACACCTAAGTGCAACTAATTATAACATTAAATACACTTAGTATTGATGCTTAGTGTAAATTGTTTGCACTTATAATACAATTTGTTCAATGTTTCTTACCTGTTAGATCTAAACACGTAACTAATTGTCATGCGTTATGAATTCTCTCATGAACGCACCGTTCTCATCTGAACACAGCCCTCTATATATATATATATATATATATATATATATATATATATATATATATATGAGAGCCCCTCCCTAAATGAAAACAACAATAAGACTTTTTCACACCAACAAATCTACTACTACAAATAGCAAAATCTTGTTCGCAACATAAAATTTATGCGAATAGGTTATTGTTCATAGCAAAATAAACAAAGAAAAATATTTAAAAGTATATATGAATATGAAAAAATTAAAAATCAAAGTGTATAAGTAAGATGAGTGGATCTACAAATTTACCAAAAATTTTAGCTTTTGTAAGCCAAAATCCATAAGCTGACCATGAACTAAATCATAACCATAAGATTTACCAAACAATTAAACTAGAAATTTGAAGCAGCAAAAAACGTACAAACTCACCCACAACCCAAAAAAAAACACCAACAAACAAACAAACAAGACTATGAATCAGAGGCTTTCCCTTGATTCCCAGTTGTAGAGCTACTTGATCCTGAATATGCACTTCCTGGGATGTTAATCAGTAGATGATCATCCTCCACGTCCTCACTATCTATGGATAGTCTACTATCCTGAAATTTGATTTCAGACACCACACAACTGGGTCACTTTACCACATAAAATATGGACTACAAATTTAAAAGTTGTCAGCATAACTCAAATATATATATATATAAATTATTTTTTTTAAAAAAAATGAAAACCTCACTACAGCATTGGCAATCATGAGATAACACAACACTAACAAACCTCTGTTTTATTTTCAACTTGATCAGGCATCACAACAGTTTTGAGGTCTCTCATGATCATTCGAAGATGTTTCTTTGCCTTCTGCCTCTCTTTACGCCTTTCATTATGCTGTGCAGCGGTAACATCTGCATGGCAAGCAACACAAAGTGTCCTCATATTCTCCAACAAGCATTCACCTGCACGGGTTTCAATCAAGAAAAGAGCGCAATGTCATTAACAGCCAAAAGAATGGACAAAGACTTGATGAGGAAGAGATGTAATGTTATTAATTAAAGCTAAATTGTTAAATTAGAGAACATTTGATAGACTAGAACACAGGTGAAAGAAACCTAACACCATCCATAAAGCAACACAAAACATTCATTGTAGCTAGCCAGCTTAAAGAGTCCTAAGTGAAACACAGGCTTATAGTTTAGTAACAATTAGCAAGATGTTAAATAATTGGTTTTGGAAACAACCTCCCCCTTTATATACAGGTATAATGTGGTCAGCATGCCAAGCATTGCCTTCATTTGGTTCATCAACAAGCCTTTTAAGTCTGCAAAATATCAAAACAAACGCATTATCCAAGTCACTCACATTGGGGCTGCAAAATGATGCACAAGTGACAAGACAAATAATAAATTTTGAATTTTTTCTTGAACTTTTTGGTGACAAAAATCATCATTCTAGTCAACGTTCAACCAAATCATATTCATGCACCATTTCTAATTTTCTTGTTCTAACCAGTCATAGGAAAGTTTCATATTCATTTTGGGATTGGCAGAATAAATAAATAATTTGATGAACTTACAACTTCTTGCGTTTTGCAATCTGTGGAGCTACTTTCTTAATATGCTCTTCCCGCTTATCGTGTAACAAAGGCCTTATGTGCTTCACAAGTTTATGGCAGTTCAGTTTACAACCTGTGCAAATACCATGCTCAATTTCAGAAAGCCTCTGCAAACAGCAAAAAGCATTACCTCAATTAGAAAAGCTCCATATTCCCCAGCATATAGAAAACAATGCTTCCGGTTATAGAAAAATGCTTAAGCATTCAGACAAAAATCAAAATTTGACCTCACGAATGTATCTACGGCTTGTTCTTAATCTGTATTCTTCATGACAGTCCAAAGAGCAGAATAGATCCTCAAAGTATTCAGGCTCCTTGGCGTTGCTTTTCCTGGACAATAAATTTTGATTATATATTTAACTTGGTATTGACAATAAATTTTGATCATAGATTTAAATCAATAGTTTCTAAATTTCACTTATTTTAATAGACTAATGCATGAACTAACTTGCAAACAGATTGACAAAGTTTACAAAGTGGTTCATCCTTGTCTGACCACCCTTGTGTATATACTCTCTCCTTTTTGTTGCTGCCAACAAGTCGAACAGTCTTCCATGTGGCATTTGAGGGCAAAGGATGGCTTATCTCGTCCAATGGTGTAGTGCGCTTCTTGCTCCGACCTTTTAGCAGTCCCTGACAGAAATCCAAGATGTTAAAAAAAAGAAAATCAAAACAAGGTGACTGAAAAGATTCTTTTGTCAATTTGTTGCCGAACTTTCCAAGGCTGTAAATGATCCCAAAAACCTTGCCTGGCATTTAAAAAGGTGGCAAAGCAATAAATAGCTTGGGATCTAACCAAACAGAGGGCCATGGATGTGGGAAAATCACAACTATACATACCTCATTATCATAGTTAATGTTCTCATTCAAATAACACAACTCAGTAGATAATGGGAGTTGTAAAGGTTTTCCCATAAGTTTCTTTTGCTTTATAGGCCTCAAACTGTTCCACTCATTAACAAAGGACTGAAGAACATGGCTAAATGCCGGGTCATCCTTGATACATTTGTAAGCCTTTTCCTTGTCATCCACAGAAGCATGAAGCAAATCAAGTTCTTCTTGTCGGAAATTTTCAAAAAGTGGCCTTGGTCTTGTATCTTTTCCTGGAATGCAAGAGTATAAGTGGATCCTTCCCGTGTAAGGGCTTACCTGAAAGAAAAAGAAACATAACACCCCCACACATAATCACATCTCAGAAAAATATGCAAATATAGTTTTAAGAGACAGGGACTTGATAGGAAAGCTGTGCCGACATAAATGCATATTAAGCAATTTAATTATCATACCTCAAAACGCAGAGACTTTAGATGGATAGAGCTACCATTGTTTGATTCAATTTGTTTGACAGATCCACAATCATGAACCTTTGACTCCATGAGTGCAACGTTTAACTACATGACCAAAATTACAATCCCATTATGCCTTTAGGTAACCATATGTGAGTTGAGCTGATCGATGTTGCAGAAAGAAAAAATGACAAAGAAAATACCTTCTCTTCTTGATTGTGATCACTGTCCTCCGAATCTGATTCATCAGAAGTGCACTCCAATGTATCAATTTTGGATTTGGTTACAGCTTGCTTTCCCATTTTAGGACAGAAACAATGCAGACATAATCCAACAATGTCAGAATTCAGACGGACAAAAAATTAGGAACTAGGTTCAGTTTATATTAGAATAGCAAGAATTACTACCTCAAGGTCATTTGATTGCGAAGACGATATATACACAGCACTTTCATTATGTTCTTGGTTACTCTCAGTCACCATTTTATCTGATTCATTACAGCAAGGGTTCTGAATTTTTGTTGGCTGTAAAAGACAAACTTCATTTTTTTCCTCATTTGGTATAAAGTTCTTTCTTTTCTCTTTAATTTTCCCAGCTGTTCCAAGGTAAGAAACATCATCAACCTGTTAAGCATCAGATGTGCAACAAGTTGAAATCCAAGTATTGAAGGAAAAATAAATAAATAAATAAATAAATAATAACCAAAACAAAAAAGGTATCCCTGGCAAAAACAAAAATAAAAGAAAAAAAGGGGAAAAATTAATTTCATGGTGAGTTTGAAGAGAGACCTTAAACCAAGGACTCTATTATACAGTGATGCATCCTTCAAAGTTTTTAGTTGACGGAAATTTGAGAAGTACAAGGAATCAAACTTGGGAAAACGGTAGGAGAACAGACTATTTGGTATGCACACCACTTAAGGGAACAGACCTTAAAACATCTCGAGAATCTAATAACAGTTTATTTAAGAGCTGAACCCTTGAAACTTGAGCTTAATCAAAAAGCTGATATATAGTGTTTTTTTTTGTGGGGAGCTGATATAGAATGTAAGTATAAATATAATTCAGAACAGTACAGATATTTGTCCAAAAGTAATATCAGAGTTTCACTTGACAAGGCCTGGAGCCATATTTGTTAGACTCGCATTATATTTCTCTCAAGACTCCTCTAGGAGATTTTGAAAGTTCAATCAGATGGACTATAATGCTTTCGAATTTCAGATTTTTAGCTCATAACTTAGGGCAATAATTGTATTAGCAGTACTTGATATGGTTATGAGTCCTAGACCCTTAAAAGGCAGGCTTAGAGTAGACAAAGCTATCATGTAGCTTAATCACATTGTGCAGGAGATTAATTTTCAGGGTTACTAGTTCATGAACTAGGACCAGCATGGTATTAGCTGTATTAGATATGACTATGAACCTATAAAGCCTTAACAGGGCGTTTGGTTGGAGAGGGGGAATTATGTGGGAAAGGAATTGTAATTCCATGGGAGTTGAATTACTAGGAATAAAGTGGGAATTTAAATTCCAGTGTTTGGTTGACAGGAATAGAACTACTGGGAATTTCAATTCCAATGTTTGGTATACATGGGAATTGAAAGGGAATAAGTAGTATAAAGTCAAAAATGTCCATTGTTGTTGTTAGACATTAATTTTAGGTTAAAAAAGGAATGGGTAATTTTGACTCATCACTATCTTTTTTTCCCAGGAATTAAAATACCAAGGGGGGACATGGGATTTTAATTCCATGAAAATGGGGGAATTGCAATTCCATGGAATTGTAATTCCCTCCAACCAAACTACGGAATTTAATGGCCTTTGGAATTAGGTGAGAATTAAGTGGGAAGGGAATTTAAAATCCCTCCAACCAAACGCCCTGCAAAGGGCTTGCTATGGTTTTCAATTAAAATAAAATAAAAAAATGCTGCTAGGTAGCTTAGTCTCCTTGTGATGAAGAGAACTGATGAGTGGCTAGGTTCTCTCAGAGGGCAAGTTTCAAGAAGAAATTCTTGTTTAAGCACAGAGATGACCAAGAGAAATATATAGGCATGACTAGTGAGAAGATATATCAAAAATAAAAATTAGGATCCTCAGAGAAACAAAGGTGTGATGTACCCCTAAGAGAGACTCTCACGTGTGCATAAGGGGCTTGTGGCCCCACAAGTATCTCTCAGTTTCAAGAACCCACTCCACTAAATTTCAGACTGCCTTCTGTTCTCACATTCTCTTCATCAAATGACCATATGGCTAAAAGAATTGATTAATATGCAGCTGAACAATTCATGGTCCTCACTAGAGGTAGCAATTACTCAGAGCTTTGGAAGAAGGGATTTTAGTTTACTCTTTTACAACTTGGAATCACACTATCCTGTCTGGAGATGGTGTTTTTATGGGAGGACAATTAAGAGTGCCATGAAAACATGATAATAAGATGAAAAGATCTACTATGTTTTTCAAAATTTTTTTTTTTTTTAAAAGGTGGCCAATGATGACAAAGTCCCTGCACATTCATGAGAACTTTAGGTAATAATCAGTTTCCATCTGCTAATTCATTTTCCAACATTGCAGGAGACCTAGAACTCTTGTACTGTAAGGGTAGGACAAACTGTGTAAGGTAATTTCTTCGCCTACCTCTATTTCCTGTACTGCATCATACTTCCCGTTCATTGTTGATGAAACTCGATGCAAACTTCTATTCAGGCTTTGCCAACAAATTTCATCAGCAGTATCCTGAAAGAAGGTCAAACATATAATACTGACCAAAGGGTTCAAATTATATCATGGACCCCAGCCACAAGTAATGTTTATTTCTTTTTAAGTTAATATTTATCAAAGACAAGAAATGTTTATCACTGAAATGGAGAGTACTCTATGCTTGATGCACAAGGTCCATAAAATACCCTTTTTCCCTTTTTCGATGAATGGAGATTGAACCTGAAATCTCACAAGTGTAGTTTTAGGTTTATGCAGCTGGACTATATGGTCATTGGCATGGAGTCCATAATATACCAATTTAACTAAAAAAAGTCTGTCTGACCAATAACAGGTAATGCATAGAAGTGGCACCTTTGCACAAAAGATATATATGTTAACTGCATTTGTTTGCCCTAGTCTATGAGCTCTATCTTCAGCCTACAAGCTCAAAATATATAAAGATCAGGTAACTGGTCAAGAATCACACAAAATTGAAAGGAATTAACAGCATTTAAATATAAAAAGAAAACCAGTAGGCTAGTTGGATTTTTCCCTTACTTTCTCCAATCATGTTGGGGATTTAAGGATTTGAGTGTAAAGCAGTAGTTGAGGAATCAGTCAAAACAGGACCAGTAAAATGGTTGAGATTTTTCATTAATTATCTAATGCCAAGCAAATGTTAGACGAATAAAAGTTTCAAATACCTGGTTTTGTGGGAGTCCTCACAGAATTTGACTTCAAATGAGTAACGAGTATAACTAGGGACTATATACATTTGTCAACAATTATCCAACAGGTTGCAGCTAACATATTTATATTTTATAACAGACAAAATCATAAGAAATCACCTAATGCCATTTAAACATGCACAGAGGTGGTTCAAGGATGAGTGCTTATAAAATTGTGTAGCAAATCTGAACTTGGAGAATTTTTTTTATTTTTATTTTTTAAAGGAGAGGATTTCTCTGAAGAAGCACAATAGATGCACCTGTTGCATGTGTGCAGGTTCCTTTGGCAGTTCCAAGAAGACAACATTTTGAGCTGCTGACAAGTTTAGTCCTGAACCACCAGCAAGTATTCCAACTATTGCAATCTTAACCTGGAAAAAAAAAGTAAATTCAGTATGCTTTACCCTTTGTTTATGTTGAATGTTGAATGTTAAGAGTCCCACATTGATAAAATAAGAGAGAACATATCAGTTTATAAGGCCATGAGTTAGATTAGCTAATTGGTTGGATTCAATCTTTTAATGTGGTTTGGACCATGTGCATTATAGCCCAATTGAGTGACCCTAGCCCAATCTTAGTTTATAACATTGAATATTAGGAAACTCCTAGTAAGAGTGGGCTTAGTTTTGCTACTCCTATTAGGATTGATTTAATATATATAGAGGTATATAGTACACATAGAGACAATCTATTGTAATATTTCATTTCATTATAATATATTCTTTCTCTTTGGTTTCTCACATATTTTGCTTCCGCCTAACTGGCGGATGGTTGTTATTCTCCACCCGCCAGGCCTTTCAATCCCTCAATTTCAACATGGTATCAGAGCCTAAAACAAACCCTAAATAAAAACCCTTTCTTCTGCTGCCACCACTACCGCGACTGTCATTCTTCGTTCCGACGTGCCTAGTGGTTGTTCTTCCAATCTTTCACCACTGGACTCTTCTGAACCTCGTCACAAACCTACGCCTGAAGACCCGTCGTCAATCTCCGCCGCACGCCACCACCGCCGTCGAAATTTCCCTTGGTTTTCCGACTAGATCTCCTTTTTCTCCGATGATTTTTTTGCCTCACCTCCTACACTATTGGGTTCCTCCCCTCTTTGCGACCTAACCTGGATAATTTCATCATCGTCATCCTGCTCTATTGCCGGCATCACGCGCCAGCGAACTTTCCTCCTCTGATGTATTTTTCCAGTGAAAATTGACCAGATTGTTGTTTTGCCCTTCTTTGGACCTTTTTGGTGAAATTTGAAGGCTTTTTGGGTTTGTTGCCAAACTTCTTCCCAGGGTGTTTTGGACCTTTTGGTATAACCGTGTTTGTTTCTTTATTTCCGATATGCCTTATCCCAAGGGTGTTCAATTTCAGCACTACTTTAAAGGCCTTTGATTATTTACCATGTTTCAAGTAAGGGGGAGTGTGACTATCTACAATCGGTGTGTTATCTTCATCATGTTGCTTTGGGTTTATCTTCATTACTATGGGCTCTACTGCATCCTTTGCTATTCTTTGCTCCCTTTTGCCTCTACCACTCTTGATGAAGGCGTTATTGGCATGTCCTAGAGTGTTTATGTTGTGCTATCTTGAGGTTGTTCATGTTCAACTCTATCCTTGGTGTGTTCATCTCCATTCCTGAGGATCGTGTTCAACTCTATCCTTGGTGTGTTCATTCCCAATATCGTGTTCAATATTGTCCTTGGTGTATTCATTCCCAAGATCGTGTTCATCTCCCTTCTTGGTGCGTTCGTCTTCATTCCCAAGGAAGGGCCAAGCATAGTGCCATCTCTTTTGAAGCCGTCCAACACTTATCCTCTAGCTGCATTTAATCTTCATTTGTAATCTTTGAGTGAGGTAGAGTGCTTGTTTTATTCCAAGCTAAGAATTTCTAGATGTTCCAGCTTGCGAGGAGTGTTGAATATTAGGAAACACCTAGAAGGAGTGAGCTTAGTTTCCTATTCCTATTAGGATTGATTTAGTATATAGTTTAGTATATATAGAGGTATAGAGTACATAGAGAAAGAATATATTGTAATTTTTCATTATAATATATTCTTTCTCTTTGGTTTCTCACATATTTTGCTCCCGCCTAACTGGCGGGTGGTTATTATTCTCCACCCGCCAAACCTTTCAATCCCTCAATTTCAACAGTTTAAAAATTGAGTTCAACAATCTCTAAAGACGTGCTTAACATATTGTGCACTGCCTCTAACAGCATCTTTCCAACAATTGAGAACTTTAAATGTATTCTTCCTTTATTTTATATCAGATATCATCTATTCTTTTTGGGCTACCTCTAACAGCATCTTTCCAACAATTGAGAACTTTAAATGTACTTGTGCTTTCTTTTTATAAGTTCCATAAGTCATTCTTGCACTGCCCCAACTATCATTTTACTCTGTAATACTTAGGGTGCTAAAAATTTGAAATGTTGCCACATTTATCTTTATTTAACCAGAAACCAACCATACTTTAGATAACTCTTATAACACTTGGTGATGGCGAGTTAGAAAATATTGAAAACATTGACGAAGTGATTTAAATTAGAACGCCACCTGCATGATAGAGCACATGCATCATTTTTCAGTAAAATGAAATTTATGTAGTTGACCTTTCTCAAGAAAATTTCTTAGGAAGGAACCCTTTCTAGAATTTTGCAGTAGACCCTTGTTTGCAATCACCTCAATCAATCAAATATTCAAATCAACTAAAAACATTAAAAATTTAGAATGAAAAGAAAATTTCTTTTAGAAAATAGCGGACCTCTTTGGAGTTTTGGAAGGATAGAATAGCTGACTGCCTTTCAAAAGCAGGTGTATTCCCATCAATACGAACATAGTTTATCCCTTTATCATAAACAAATTCCTGTACAATTTCAGTCGAGTCAATTTAATTAAAAGAAGAATTCACTCACAGCTCAAACACAACCTAGTACATATTTGGTAAAAAGTAAAAACAAATTAAAAAATGCACAATCCCATTGAATAAAAGTAGGAAGGATTCACCTGCACTCCATCAAGAACCTTATGATGGTGAGCAAATATTATCATTTTTTGTGAACTGCAATTTGCACCAATTGGTTCCTCATCGCCTATTTCTGCAATGACTGGATGTATGGAGAGCCATTCACAGAATCCTGACAACTTTGCAATTCCAAGTTCCTGCTCAGAGAGCTTTGCAGTACATTCTTGATTGCCACTATTACCTGTAAGGGTGTAGCAATTAGGATATTTAACATGCATCATATTGTTATTTGGCACATTGTTAAATAATATCATTAAATCTACAGTTTACAATGTCCACAATGGTGCAGTTATATGTAGTTATATAATAGGAGAAAAATAACAGTATCCTAATTGAAAAATTCAAATCCAGAAGACAAGGTATAAGCAGAGAAAGATGTTCATTAGATGCACTATCCATAGATTAACACAGAGGATCTGGAATTCCATTACCTGCAGTTTTATCAGGAATGTCCACTGCAGTACTTTCAGCATCAGTTCCACTGGCATCAAGGCTCGGGGCATTGCCACTTGACACTCTGGTAGAAGCCATTGCATTAGCAATATCTGATTTCTTTAAGACCAGCCTTATGATTTGGCGACGCTTGGGTGGCAACTGTACTAGTACATGCACCTTCAATCGTCGTATCTGCAACATACAAAGTAAAAGAGAAAGAAAGCCATGTTTTCAGCACAGAAACAAAGAGTAAATGGCAACAAGCTATATTTAAGGGATGTGACTGTTACAGGCTTTTGCTGTCCCTGATAACAAATTTTCACTCATGAAAAGAACAAGAGAGGGAAACAGGAAAACGGCAGAGAGAGAGAAACAGGAAACAAAGGAACTTAAGAGCATTAAGAGAAAAATTACATCAATCACAAACACACAGACTTTTGATGTCCCTGAAATAAAAATCAATTATGAAAAGAAGAGAGGGAAACAGGAAAACTGCAGAGAGAAAGAGAGAGAAAACCGGAAACAAAGGAACTTATTAGCATTAAGAGAAAAATTGCACAGACACGTATGTACATATGTATGACCCGAAAGGATAAGGTTTTCAGTTGTGAAATGAAGACAATGGAAAAATGCAATCGTATATAAAGTAAAAGAGTGTGGAAAGAGAAGTATCATTAAGCAAAATTCTGAAGATCACAGAAAGCAAGAGCACACCATAACAGTTTGCTTAAGCAACATATGTAATTCTTCCAAACGAATCCCCTTAGAGAAATCCTACAAGGAAGAAAACAACATATCATGTCATCAACTTTAGATGGGAGTAAATCATAACTTTATGGAACTAGTAAATTAATGAATCAGCAAGACAGCAAATGAAACAACCAAAGAGTTATAACCCAAAGCCACCTTTATTATGTCAACCAGTCATAGAGTACAATGTCAGATCAATTAAAAAGAAATTTAAAGATAAATTTAGAGTACTTCGTAATGAACTTCGAGTTGAAGTAACCCAACTTACATAGAAATCCTTCCCTTGGCAACCTTTAACAAGTTTGATAGAGCAGTAAGTCTTTGCAAATTCATATTTAGTCTTTCCAAGTAAACCTGGCCTAAAAGAAGCATGTACTGTCAAAAGAATGAGTAGGAAAAAAGAGTTCCATAATTGACAATAAATAAATCTATTATTGCAAAGACAGAAAGTTACCATAGCATATTTATCTGATGAAATATGTCATATGGCCTATTAGCACCTAGGAAAACATTCAACTTGGATATAAGAATCAGAAGTTAATTATAAGTACAAAACATAGAGTATGCCCAATAAGGACAAAACAGGAAATCAAATAGATTGATCTTTGAAAGATGGGAAAGAAAATACAGGGGTTAAGCTCTTTGCAAACAGAGCTGAAATAGAACAATCTAAATTTCTCACAACCTTGATAGAGAAGGAGTTCCTGACAATAGAATTAAATGCTTGATATTCACTGCAACATCAAGAACAGCTTTTATCTGACAAACACAACAAAGAGAACTAAGTAGCAATTGCAATCAGCAGATAGAATAACAATTACATATGCTGATATGGTAGAAAAAATTATGAATACAGTTAGTTAAACTAAGCACTGTCTCATCACCAGAAACAAAAATCATTTCCCTTGTGTCAATACCTCAAAAACATAACTTGTTTTGATACAAGCCTATAAAAGTGACATTGTCCAATTTGATGACAAAGCGATGTGGTAAAACAGGAAACAAATGGAAATGGGTTACCAACCCATTGCAGTTCATCTCAAACTTCAGTTGACTGGGCAGCTTTTGTGAAGTTATGGTTTAAAGGCCAGGGTATGTCAGATCATTTAATGAAGAATTTGAGCAAAATTACTAAAAATGCAAAAGAATGGGAAAAGGCAAACACCCTGCTTTGTAATATGTTGTGGTAGTCTATTGATCTTATAAGCTTTATAACATATATAAAGTTTATGAAACCTGCAAGGCAGTTTGGGACAAGGCAAGATCTCTTTATACTAATGATGTTCAACAATTGTATTCTATAGTCTCCAGTATTGTTGGGCTTCAGCAACAAAATATGGATATGCCTAATTTTCTTGGTCAAATTGAAGCTTTGAAAGACTTTCAACACACTTCACTCGATAAACACCATTGTGGAAGATCAATTAAAGCATCAGGGCAAATTTTTTATGGTTCTTACCCTGGCCGCTCTCCTAATAAACTATACGGATACTTTCTCCCATGTTGCTAAAATTACCTCTACTCGATTGTTTTTGTCTTTGGCTGCCATAAGTTATTGGCCCTTATACCAGTTGGACATTAAAAATGTTTTCTTGCATGGAGATCTCATCAAAGAAGTTTATATGGAGCAACAACTAGCATTTGTTGCTCAGGGGAGTTTGGCTTGGTTTGTAAACTTTGACGATCTCTTTAGGGTAAAGCAGTCCCCAAGAGCATGGTTTGGTCGTTTCAGCACAATCATTAGTACTTTTGAATGATTCTGAGTAAAGTTGACTATTCTGTGTTTTATCGACTCCCGATGGAGGGAAATTGTATCTACCTTGTAGTATACGTGGATGACATTGTGATTACTGGCAATGACAAGGCATATCCCAATTAAAAGAACATCTCTTTAAGAGATTCTAGACTAAGGATTTGGGTAAGTTAAAGTATTTTCTTGGAATTCAGGTGGCCCAATCCTGTAATGGTGTAATTATCTCACAAAGGAAGTATGCTTTAGACATTCTTGAGGAAAATAGGATGCTTGATTGCAAACCCATCGATAGTCCTATGGATCCTAATGTCAAACTCTTCCCAAATCAAGGGGAAACACTATTCGAACCAGAGCATTACAAGGAACTCATTGGGAAATTGAACAATCACACAATCACTCGCCCAAATATCTCCTTTGCAGTAAGTGTATTAAGCCAATTTTTAGAAAATCCTTGTATTGATCACTGGAATGCTACTACTCGAGTTTTGAAATACATCAAGAAAGCACCAGGACGAGGATTGATTTATGAAGATAAAGGTCATACTTGGATCATTGGATACTCTACTGCTAATTGGGCAAGTTCTCCATTTGACAGACACTCCACATCTGGGTATTGTATTCTCATTGGTGGTAACTTGATTTCATGGAAAAGCAAGAAGCTAGATGTGGTAGCCAAATCTAGTGCAGAAACTAAATATCGTGACATGGCTTTAGCAACATGTGAACTTATATGGCTAAAGCACTTACTTCAATTGCTACAATATTGTGATCTTACAAAGATGACACTAATATGTGAGAACCAGGCAGCTCAACATATTGCTATGAAAGTATGAATCCATTCTTTCACGAACGAACCAAACATATTAAAGTTGACTATCACTTCATTAGGGAAAAGATTATGTCAGGATTGACTACAAGCCATGTTAACTCCACTAATCAATTGGCGGATATTCTCACTAAGTCTCTTAGAGGTCCCAAGATAAAATATATTTGTAACAAGCTTGGCGCATATGACTATATGATCCAACTTGAGGGGAGTATTAGAATACAAGAGTCATGTACTCATGTCCTATATAAAGAGTCATGTCTTTATAGTTTAGGTTCCTTACTAGTATATATACTCTGTTGTACCAATCATTTGAATCCATCAAATTCAAGTGTCTTTCTTCACAAATAATATCACAAAAATATGCAACATGGATGATTATATTTGTTTTTGGGCCTTCACTCCTTGACATCACTTCAAGGCATGATGCATGAAATTGTTAACTAGATAAAGAGGCTACCATTTCAACTGCCTATTTTGGTCTTTGGAACATGCCATGTAGAAATCACATAGATATATAAGTATATAACTATTAGATGGAGATAAACCTCATAATACAATTCTGAACTAACATTTTCAATTTTCAAATACATAGCATAAAGTTTACAGGTTTATTTCCTCTGTTAGTATACAGTTCGTATTACCAATTAAAAAAATCAAATCAGTAATATATAGAGTATACAAACCATTAAAAGATTTTAGAACAGAAAATACAAGACTTATTATTCTTCTTTCTTTAACTATTCTTATTAGCCTTTTTTTTTTAAATATATTAGCCTTTTAGTACATGATAATCTTATTACCTCTTCAGGTTCAGATTTTTTCTTTGAACATCGGAGATGATGTGATTCATCAATGATTAAGATAGCCCATTCATGCTTCAAAATACTCCTTCGCAAGCGTTTTAGCATTGTGTATGAGATGACCACAAATCTAGGGCATCTACTTAAATGAGAAGGGTTATCTTGATGACCAAAAACTGAGATGAAAAGACTAAATTAGTAACAGAAGGGGTATCATGGGCATAGAAGACTGAAAGATAAAGAAAGCAGCCAGGATAGTGAAACATTATTTTGGTCATAAGAGAAATTATGACATGCAATCATATAAAGGCCAGAACATTATCAACTGTGAAGTTGAAATCAGCAACATTATAACTAATTAGCATTTTGCTCACTCCCTAGGCTTCAAGCTCCATCCCAACCCCAAAGGAAAAAAAAAAAAAAAAAAAAAAAAAAAAAAAAAAAAAAAACAAAGGGAAAAAGAAAAGGACAAAATATAAAATAAAAAAGATTGGGGGTGGGGGGCTAAAAACAAAAAGAATATGGGAATAAAAGCCAGCTCTTTAATATCTATAACTAAAGAGATAAAAGACCTCCGATTCAGAATAAGTAGCAATACCCTTGAACACTGTACAACTAAAGTTGCACCAACATTCAAAATTAAGAATATAGCCAAACTGTGAAATCAATACCTATCAAGAATATACAATTGCACCAAATATTATGACTTCAACATGCTCCCAAGTCCCAAACCAGAGCTTAGCCCATAAAAATGTTTTTAAAAAAAAAAAGTTCAATAGAAGGTAAGCTTTAAATGCTACCGAGATGGATATCAGAAGGCAAACAAGAAAGCCAATGTTCCAATTCTTCTGCCCAAGAATATCTCAAAATAGCTGGGCAAACAATGAGTGTAGGACCTTCATTCATGAAACACCTTGCAATAGCAATAGCCTGAAAATTGAAAGCAAGAGCCCTTTAATGATATACACCCTCTATGTAATTCTATATGAATGGAGTTTAAAGAGGAAGAATAATTCTGCAACATTAATGCTTCTATTTCATAATAGTGCACACATATATTAGATGCTGAGTTTAACTTGTGTTAACTACTAGACCCTAGTCTCAATTCTTAAACCTTACAACAGTAGAACGTTAATAAACTTCAATGCTCATCTATAAGCTAAATATAAATGACTGGCACACTTAAATATCATTTCTAAAAACTTTAAAATTGATTATGCAAATAAATGACATCAAATCTCTCAGATCGTTGTAAACTATATTATGATTTCTTTGCTACCTGGAGGGTTTTGCCAAGCCCCATTTCATCAGCAATAAGACATCTTCCACCCCTCCTGAGCCCAAACCTTATACCTTCAAGTTGAAAAGGTAGCAATGTGTCCAGCAAGGTTTTAGGAAGTTCACTAATTAACTCATCAACCTTCTCATCAGGTAGATGCTCTGGTCTACAAGGTATCCATCTCCCTGCATTAAAGGAATGGGAAAGCCTTTCAACAACATTGAGTGTTCCCCAGGGTATTTCTTCACACTCAATGTCCTTACAACTCTTAATGGACCTTAGAACTGCTTCATAATCTGGAAGCTTATACACACAACCCCTTCCGCCACCAGTGTTTTGAGTGTAATGTGATGGAACAACCTAATACAAAATCCAGTGAACTTTAATCCTTTAACATATTCCATAGCATCAAACAAGAGAAAATTATCAATGAAACCATTACAGCTCAATTGTCTCTAGGTTCCTAAATGGCAGATATTCCTAAAAATGTTAGCCAAGAAAATCAACCACCATAAGGATAAGAATGCTAGCTATTATGAAGAATGAGAAATTATCCTACAATTAATAGGCAATCTTCGAGCTTTCTGTTGTCCATTCGAAAATGTTTTCTCTTTTTAAAATTAAGAAAATGTTCATTATGCAGTTCAAGATAAGAATGTAGACATGGATAATCTGTTCTCTTACACAGAAGAGTAATTCATTCAGCTTTTGGAAGCAAACTTCTTCTCCGGGGTAAGGAAACCCCTGGACAGGTTGAGGAGTGACAGAGAACGAATCGGGAGAGCAAATTTCGAGCATGACCCGGAATCTTTCTAGCGGAGGAGCCGACGACTCGGGCTTCCGGAGCAGGTCGGACGCAGAAGCGGGATTGGTTTTGGGTAAAACAGCAGTGGCAGTGGCAGTGGCGGGAGAGGATTCGGACGAGGGTTTTTGACATTTAAGAAGCTTCCAAGCTTCTTGATTGGCTTTGCGCTTTGCCAAGGCCGCGAGTCGGTTTGCTTCGGCTCGTTTTCTCTGCTCCTCCGTGATTTCCATTTATTTTGGATTTGCTGAAGTTTGTATTTGGCAAGAGCCAGAAGAATAGCGTAGGGAAGTAGATTTTGAAATGGAGGAGCGCAAAAGCAAGGCGGGGAAGAACAAGAACCGAACAAGGTTGCTACGCGCTCACGCGGTGTAAGAAGAGAAAAAATGAGGTAAATTTTGATTTGGTTGTAAATAAACTAGGATTGTAACCGGATCAATATTGTTTAACTTATTATCCAATTGTGTGAAATATTTAAGAAAATGTTCAATTAAAAAGTCAAGCTGAAATAAAAATAGAAATAATAATGAAATTACTTTAACATACATTCGAATAAAATTAACTGTTACAAAATTACAAATTATTAAAAATTTTGTGATATACCACGTTGGTTGTTGATATATAATTTGTACTTGAGTTATTGTCAATCAATATTTTAAGACCACCTGAATTGTTAACCCGAGATGCAACCACGTGCATCATTGGCGCTTCATTCCCTAGTATGTCACACGTACAATGCACGGACTAAATATTTGAAATACAATAATAATAATAATAATAATAATAATAATAATAATAATAATAATAATAATAATAAGAGTAAAAGACATTTTTGGTCCTAGACTTATAGTGGCACGGACAATTTTAGTCCTCCTTAAAAAAATCAGACAATTGGTGGACACTCTTATTGTGACGATGACAATTTTGGTCCTCCATCAATATTCCGGTTTGATGGCCCGTTAGATAGGGGTAATTTCGTCTTTTCAGCATACCTCCTCCATTTTAATACGTCAGTGTGCTCCTGTTCTTCATTCCAGATTGACGAGGCAGATTGAAGAGGGCAAGAGGCAGATTGAAGAGAATCAACACTCTCTCTGAAGAAGCAAATCTAGTCGAAGGAAAATGCAAGGAGGAAGCTGTAACTCTTCCAGTTCGTCAACTACAAGGCGAAAGGTATATGGTGAATGGATTTCGATTCAAGTTTGTGAATGTGGGCAAGAAATGGTTTTGAGAACATCTTGGACCAATGAGAACTCGGGAAGGAGGTACTGGGAATGTTCAGGATGCAAGGTTATATGCAAATTTTTAAAATTTTTTGCAGTGAGAATTAATTTTTTTTTTTTTTTGGGTTTGATGATTCAGAAATGTGAAATTGAATGGCTTATATATATTTTTTAATTTGTGCAAATTTATCAGGATGGATTCGTGGCTTGGTTCGATCCCCAAGGTGCCCAGGTCAAAGAAGATTATACCGGGCTTATTGAAGAAAATTAACAAAAGTGAAGAAGAAGTAGTATATTTAAAATGCAAGTTGAGCAGATGGGAAGACATTCAAATTAAGAATAATCGTAGGAGTAATAAATGTAGATCCATGATGATGTTGGTTGCAGTTGCCCTTATTGTACTATTAATTTGTTATCTTTCAATTGTTGTATCGGTAGGAAACAACATGTATATGCTTCCATAATTGTTGTTTGGTTTATCAATGGATTAATGGAGTGTTCTTGTTTTGGTCAATTGTTTTGTGTCACTTTTCACAGCAAAGTTAAAAGCATGTTCACTGCCAAAACTACATAATTAACAAGCAAAGCTATTGATAAACCAAAACAAAGATACAAAGCAAAGCTGCCAATAAACACCATTTCATTCACTGCCAATTTCAATTTTAAAAGCAAAGCTAGAATGTCAGTTTTGATGTCAAAAAAGCAAGGCTGTGACGGTGATGATTAACTGCTTACATAAAACACAAAAAACAACATCACAAAGATCTACCTCATCATACATATTATGTACCAAAAAAAAACAACAACACTGCCTACAATTCAAACATCATAATGTCATTCATTCAAGTTCCACAAGTGTTTCCACAGTGTTGGTGAACCTTGACTTCATGGTTGTCCTAGATCTTGTCATAGGTGCCCTCCTAAGTGGTAATTTGTTCCTTGATGTCAACCCTAATTTAGACCTTTTGGGAGGAGGTCTAACACAAACATTCTCTGGCTGTGGTGTAACAGAAACATGCTCTGACTGTGTAATGTCAACCCCATACTCTGGTTGTGTAATTGAGATTTCATTAGGTTGAGATCCATTGTCATACCTTGCTACCACCTCTGCTGTTTCATTCCAAAATTCAGTCATGTCTTCAGCTGCAACACTACTCCCTTCTGCTACAAGTGGAGTCCCAGTAGCTGCTGCAAGTGGAGTCCTAGTAGCTGCTTTTGCAGATTTGTTCTTCCTTGTCCTTTTTCTTGGATTGAGCTACATCACAAAGAAACAATGGATTTCAGTTTCCAAAACAGTAAATATATGCATACATTAGAAGTAGTTGTTGTCAATACCTTTCTTTGTCTTGCAGAAGGATCTTGAGGGCATGTTCTAGAGTTATGACCAATCTAATTGCATTTCCTACAATGCTTAACTAGCAAGGTAGGGTTCACATGTGTCCCATCCTTGGTGATCTCATCTCTGCCCCTGCTTCTCATTTTCTTGGGTCTTCCAACCTTGGTTGTGTATAGTGGATGCAATGGTGGTTCCTTGTTTGACCTTGGCCATTCACTTGGACCAGAAAGTCGCTTTATCCTCCCTCCATAGGTATTCAAGTAATTGTTTATTGAGTAGCAAGGGTGTACATAATTATGCACAAACCCTTTTCCATGTCTCATCCATATGGCACACACAGCATGTTTACAAGGTATCCCAGTTAAGTCCCATATCCTACAACTACAACTACTACCCATTAACAAATTCACTGTATGTTGCTCTAACCCCTCTAACCCTACCATGCACCTTATCTCAAATAGATTATCACCACTTTGAGTCCCTAAACATCTAGAAGTAGCCCTCTCAATTAAGATTTTTTTTTTTTTTAATTATTGAAGGACATAATGGACCCTTCCAGTTAATAGCCTTTTGTTTATTTTCAAATATTCTTGCCATAAGTAACTTCCTAATAGATTCTACATAAGATATTAGTGGTTCTGCCCTTGCATCTAAAATCATGGCATTGAAACATTCTGATATGTTGTTCACTAATGCATCAGAACTAGAAAAAATTGTGAAATAGAACCTTGACCATTCTGAAGGGTGTTTCTCAGCTAGCCATAGGTATGCATTCACATCTAACTTCTTGATCTCCTCCATAGCTTCAATGAAGATATTTACTGTTGTTGCCTTGGCTGCTGCCCATAAACAATCCTTCATTGCCTTACCTAAAATTTTGAATATGACCCTTTATAAGTTCAAAAAAAAAAAAAAAAATTGAATATGACAATTTAAAAATTGGACTCATCGGATAATCCATACTCTATGTGTGTGTGTGTGTATATATATATATATATATATATATATATATATATATATATATATATATATGAGTAAAGACCACTAGACGTATGGCAATGGGCAATTAAGTATGTGCCATTTAAATTCTTATTTCCTAAAGCCCAAATGCTAAAATGCCCAATTCACTAATTAACCAATCAGCGTGGACCGTTGTTCACACAACTGTGTGAATTACAATTCAAAAATAATAAAATATATTATTCTAAAAATTTATAAAATACATTATTTTAACTCATAAAATACATTATCTTACCACATAAATTTCATTATTCTAATACATATAAAATACATTATTCTAACTCATAAAATATATTATATTACCCCAGAATATTCATTATTCTAACATGCACTCAGAGCAATAAATTTTTATTTTTTTAACATTAAAGTAACATCATTTTGGACCGTGATTCACACAATAATTTGTCATAGATTGAGGCTAAAACCAAGATTTTAACATTGTTTAGTATTACTAACTCTGATACAATGCAATATCTGTTCATAACTATTTTCTCAACCTACTGAAGCACAAAGAATCAATACCGCCTCCAGACTCAAACCCACAACCTCCCATATGGAAGAGCAACACCAAGATCTTAACATAGTTTCAGGACAACTTAGTGCAGTTCAACTTAAACCAATTATGGCATGTTTGGTTCATGGAATAGGTCAGGAATGGAATAACATTTCTTAGAATAGACCTATTCCATCGTTTGGTTGGATCATTTTGTCATGGGAATAACATGCCTAGAAATGAACTATTACCTTCGCAAGGAGAATAGCCATTCCTAGGGGGGTCTTGGTATTAGCTATTCCCATGCTCTTGGGAATAGCTTTTATATCACAAATACTAAAAATACCCTTTGCACATTATATAATATTTATATTTATTTAATAAATATAATGCATTATATATATGTATATATTTACACACATTTTGCAGCGTTTGCAATTGGCATTTTGGAAAAAGAAGTATTTTCTCAAAACACCCTTGACATATATATATATATATATATATATATATATATATATATATATATATATATATATATATATATATATATTTACGAAAATGCCACCGCGTTTTTTTTAAGTTATTAGATCTGGACACGTGTCACACGTTGATTCGTTCGCATTTCCTTCCTGGGCACTTATTCGCACCTGAGTGCGTCCCTATATATATATATATATATATATATATATATATATATATATATATATATATATATATATATATATATATATATATATATATATATATATATTAACTGTATAAGACTCCTTAATTATGGAGTCTTGACTACTAAATTAAGTAGACTGCCCATCTGCATGCCTAGCGGATGGGCATTGCAAGCTTGCCTAGCGGATGAGCATTGCAATTGAAATTATGCAGGCTTGAGGCACCTTTTATAGGAGCCTCAAGGCTCCACTCCTTACTTCTCCATCCGATTTGGAACAAGTGAGAAAATAAATATAAATATAAATATATATTTAAATAATAATAATAATAATAATAATAATAATAATAATAATAATTATTATTATTATTATTATTATTATCTCTCTCACACACACATACATATACATGTATATAAACATAAATAATATATATATATATATATATATATATATATATATATATATATATATATATATATATAACATTCAGTATATCATAATCATATTTTATTATTATTATTATTATTATTATTATTATTTTGTATAAGGGTATTTATTTCTTTAAAACCTATTCCATTTCTATTCCTTTAACCAACCAAACACTGAAATATAATTACTAAAGC